ATTATGTTAAAATGTTAAAATAACCATCAAAATGATGATTTCAAAAACATTCATTGTAAATTTGTATTAACTTAAAGAGGTCTGTGACATATTGTTGAATTTTTTTAAGTTATAATGTAAATATATTAAGATCTCATTTTCCCAAAAATGTTGACATTTATATCTGTATGTAGACATTTTAAAAGACTAAATGTAGAAACCAGGGAAAAAAAATCATTCTACTCTCTCTGAAGTGGTACTATAGGTCATCTTAATTTTCTTCAAATTTTCCATATTTTCTTGACTTTTGGCAATTAACATGTGAATTCTTGGGTTGTTATGAGTTAAAATAAGCCATTTCAAAAATAAAGAAAAAGAAAAAGAAAGCATCCAATGATATGTATCAGGTAACCAGTATTTCTCTGCCCTTAGTTTGTGAGTGGTGGATGGGAGGTGGAGTGGGGAGAAGGAGTAAATGCAGGGACAGAAATTCAGTGTTTCTTTCTACAGCAATGACCGTGTTGGCCCCAGGGTACATGACAGTGCAATCTGCCACTCAGTGACAGGTGGAAGACTTTATTTAGGCCAATCTCAAGCAGCTCCCACATCAGTGTTTTCCCACTTCCTACAGTGGACTGATTAACTCAAGTTTTGCTAATCTCACAAAAGAAGGAGAGAGAGAGAGAGATGTCCAGTTCCCTGAGGCTCTGGGGTAGTGGGGCCCCAATTAAAGAAAGTTAAAAAAAAAAAGTCAAAGGAAGAAACCTTAGTTACCTTCTCAGCACAGAACATAAACAACATGGGCCATTCTACTCCTGAAATGCACCGGAAGAAAGACTGTAGGGGCTTTTCATTTCCCACTAAAGCCACCCATAACAGATGAGCATGCTACAAATTTCAGTTATTTCCCTAAAGTCACCCAGCTGCTCAATTCCTAGGTAACCATTTCCCATCACCGTGGCTGCCTCAGGCCAGCAGGAAAGCAGAACTAGAGCTGCATCGTGCTTGTTTTGAACGAGCCTCCCCCCTTTTGAAAACACATCCTGAAGAATCAGCTCTCTGGGTCAGATACACCTAAAGCAAAACTCCATTTCTCAGCTACAGAGGATTTCAAAAGCAGTTAAAGCCGACTAATGACTGGAACTGTGGCAGTTCCTTACAGGTTTTCTTCACTAACATTTTCAGTAAGTGCCCAATTTCACAGAGTCATGCTGATAACTCTCCCTAAGAAGACGTAAAACTAAAAGAAGGTATAAAGTTATAATTAATATGTTTTTTCCCTCAAAACATTGACAGAATTTACCTTATTTTTGGATGGGCCCACATCAGTGTCCATTGGGAAATCCCAAGAGTCACTCTATTCCTAGCAGTTCCCTCTAGTTGCTATAGGTGATACACTCTTCCTAAAAGCCCACCATTTAGCCCTGGCTGGTTTGGCTCAGCGGTTAGAGGGTTGGCCCGTGGACCAGAGAGTCGTGGGTTCAATTTCCGCCAAGGGCGCATGCCTCGGTTGCAGTTCAGCCCCGGCCCTAGCTGGGGTCGTGCAGGAGGCAGCCAGTCAATGTGTCTCTCTCATTCTCTCCCATGCTATCTGATGATACATGGAAAAATATCCTTGGGTAAGGATAAATTTATATATATATATATATATATATATATATATATATATACCCCCACCATTTAAATTGTGGGTCTTTTGGAATGACAGACACCAAGGACGATTTCCCAGAATCCTTAGCCTCACTAGTCACAAACTATTGCCTGACAGATGGTTTAGGCTGAAACCACCAGACTTATTCAAGGGGAGATGATAAAATACAACCTTCAGAGGAGAAGAAAGGAAGCAGTCCCTCCAGCTAAGGGGAAAGAAATATTGGCAACATGCCCCCAAAGCTGTCTTGTCACAGTGGGGAGAAGGAGGCAGGGGCCCAAGCTCAAAACAGAGAGAGAAAGCTCAGCTACAGGTCGATGAGGAGAGTAGGAAGAAGGACAAAAACCTCCAGATGACTGCCAAAGCAAACAAACACGTAAACAAACAAACAAACAAACAAAAAGGCTTTAAAACACTTGATAGGGGAAAGAATATTGCATTTTGACAAAGAAAGTTGAAGTCTGGTAATAAAATTAGTTTTCTCTACGAAGCCCATAACACGTGATATAAAAGCTCAGGTGATTTTGTTCTTCAGAACTGACTTGGATTCCAGGCCTCCACTAAAGGTAATAGTCCAGCCTCAGGGAAGATTCCACTTTTAATCTTGATAGCCAAAGGGGTTTTTCTTGATCACTATTTTTCTTTGAAAACTGTAGCCAGAAGAAACCACCTGTTATTACACTAAGTGCTGAGAATTGTCTTGTTCTGGGTTTCACTGTACTGTTAGAGACCTAGCCACAGCTTGTGAATATGATCGTCCCTGATTTTGTTCTGTATTCTCTGCCACTCTGCTCAAAACCTCTCTCCCTAGTCTTCTTTCTACTTGCTTCATTAAGATATTGTTTATATATATCTGCTTCAATTGCAGTCAAGGGCATGTACCTTGGTTGCGGTTCATCACCCGCCCTGGTGGGGGACAGTCAGTCGATATGTCTCTCACATCAATGTTTCTTTCTCTCTCTCTCTCTCTCTCTCTCTCTCTCTCTCTCTCTCTCTCTCTCTCCTTTCCATTCTACCTGATGATAAATAGAAAAATATCCCGAGGTGAGGATTTTTTTAAAAAGATATTTTATACGTATTATTTTGTTTAAAATACCACTTTTGATATGCTCCTCCTTGGAAGAAAAGAACGAGGCCCCTTTTCACACGTCACGCAATTTATCAGTTTTTAAGTGCAGGAGATTAATAAAATTGGCACTCTTATGTGACCTCTGCATGGGAATGGTCAGGGTTAGTGTGGAAAACATGCCTTGTTTTAAAGGGTCCAGGCCACCAAACCTGGTCTGTGGAAAGTTCTTATGAAAGGAGAAGGGAAGTTTTATGGTGATGGGAGTTTGACTTGTCTCAGAGTCTAAAGAGGAAGATGAGCTAAAATCTTGAGACTGCTGGCACAAACAGGAAGAAGCTACCAGATTCCCCCAAACTTGTGCTGTTTGGTTAGCACATCACGAAGGTGGTGAGCAATTTCTGAAAGTGTGACGTCGGTATCCCACCTCTGGGGAGAAGGAGGTAGTTGGTCCCTTCAACATGAAATATCAGAATCTGTGTCCTGACATCCATCCATAGACAGCCTCTCCTACCTAACTCTTACTGACCCCTTCTTTCATTCTCAGTTGCTGTGTAGTAGTCTATTTCCCACTGGTATTGTACAACCAGGTACATATATATATATATATTTCAAATTTGGATCCCTATTTATGTGGACACCCAAGTGTGTGTCCTCCCATGCTGTAAGAATGGATGGGACCTTCTGAAGATACTCACTGGACATGATAAAATCATTTAAGTCCTGAAGAAAATGTGCTAAGAGAAATACTGGATTTAAGAAAAAAAATAGAAAGGTAATAACACCACACCCACCATGAGCACAACCCTGTTTATCAATGTAAGCAAAAGACAGTAAATGAACCCAGAGTCTATTTGCTCCTTACCTTTTAAGGACAGCAATTTTAGGGCTAAGGCAGATGGAAGGAATGTTTAACTTCTACCCATCTACCCCATTAAATATAAACCTAGGGAAATCATCTATAAATTACATGATATCTAGTCATTTTGTTATAACAAATTGCACTAAAGGAATGTGTTCTAATTCAAAACTGGTCTTTCAGAAGTCTAAGACATATATGGCGCACTTGCTTGGAATTAAATACCTATCTGGACAGCTACCAGAGATCAAGTAAATTCTCCTCTTGAACTCTGGCTTTCCTTGCTAGCATTAAGTCCATTTATAATATTGAGAGTGCTGAGCAGGAAAGACAGGAAAGTCTCTCTTCTATTTTAAGAAAGTTTAACGACCCACCACTATATTTGTTTTTCGAGCAGGGAAGGGGGAGCCAAGGCCCGTTTGTACTCATCACCCCCAGGCTCAACTGCGCGGCTGGCTGGTTGCAGCTTTACCACTGACGCGGGGCCCCTGGCAGCGACACTGGCTGAACTGTGCGCCTTTTCATGAAGGCAGAGGAATTGAGGTTAACCACACTATAACCCTCCCACCTGAGGAAAAGGCCTGTTTGTTCCGGAAGGCAGGGCCCAGCCTTTTTAAACTAACTGCTAGCAGTTAACCACAAACGTTCCCAGGGCAGCAAAACATCTCTAGTCTAGAACAGTAAAGCCATCAGGATGTCTCCAGAGTCTGATATCCAGAAAGACGCAGCTCAGGCGCCCCACCTGACGATTAACCTGAAAACACCTGACGCTCTCTTTGGCTTCCTAGCCTGAGGACAAGTATGGGACCGCCAGGCCAGGCCTCCGCCTTCCAAACTTTCCACCGCTCTCGGGGTTCTGAGCAGGGAAAACCTTCAGGGCACTGGCAGCTCGGCCTCGGCAGGACCGCCTCCCTGCAGCTGGAGCTTTTCCAGGCGGGCCCCTTCTGTGGGCCCTGCTCCCTTACCCTTCCCGCCAGCCGCGCGTGCAGACCTCGGCCCCCAGGCAGACGCGGCGGGTGGCCGGGTGCGGCGGGCGCTGCTCACCGGCGTCGGTGGCCCGGCTGCACGATCTGTGCTCGCCGGAGGGGAAGCGGCGCGTGGCCAGTCAGGCGTCCCCGCCCCTCCTCGGAGTCACCACCTACGCCCCGTCGCTTCCCGCCCGGAGGAGACGTATCCTGGAAGGCTTTTTCCACGTGTCGCGATCCAGCCTCTCGGAGCCCGCGGAGGCGGGAAGCAGCGAAGCGGATCAAGGAGGGGGAGGTGGGCGATGGGGAGGTGGGCGATGGGGAGGTGGGCGATGGAGCGGAGGTGCATACGCGAGAAGACTTGAGGAGGAAAGCAGCCCAGGGAAGGGGCAGCGGTGGCATCCCCGGGAGGGACCGTGGAATAGAGGGGGGCCCGTGGCGCGCCCAGTGGACGGCGCCGAGCGCCCCTGGGGTACTGACCTGCGGCGGGACCCCCAGGACAGGGCTGAGGCTGTGTTCCACACTGGCAGGTCCAACGCCTCTGCTCCGCGAGACATGGCGCGACCCCAGGGCTGCAGGAGCAGGAGGCCGAGGGTGGGACCGCTGCACCTGCCTCGGGCGCGGACGCCGGCCCCAGGCTCCCACGCTCGCGTCTCGGGTGCCCTGAGCCCGCTCCGCCTCTTGGGTATCTGCCGGGAGGTAGGACTGGGGTGGCGGGAAGCAGCGCCTTCTTATGGGGTCCCGGCGACCCGCGCGCTCTCCACACCGCCCCCGGGCGGCGGGGCCGCGAACTCCCAGCCCTCTGGGCTTCTGCCTTCCTTCCTTCCTTCCTTCCTGACTTCTCCTTTCTCTCCTTGTTTTCCTCCTCCATTCACGTGTCCCTTTCTTCAGCTATTTTTATTTTGATGCGTTCGGGACACACTCACTGAGTACCAAGCAGAGTGGTGTATACTGTGGATACACGAAGGAAGAAAGACAGTCCTTTCCCTCTGAGACTTCACAGGAAACTGACAAGTTCCTTCGTTGCAGCGGGGATTGTTGGTTTGCTTTTTCTAAAGTGCACGATCACAAAACTCTGTAACAAGTCACGTTTCAGAGATGTTAAAAGCACTACCCGCACAGAAGGGAAAGAAAAACAAATCGCTTTTTGCTTGCGTGGGAAAGCTGGAGCGGGCCTCCCGCGCGGGGGTGAGTGTCCGAGGGGTCCCTGGCTGGCGCAGCGGGATGGCGAGACCCGCACCGCCAGAGCCAAGTCCGCGCTCCCGCCTGCAGCCGCCGCGCTCTTCACTCCAGGTGCCCGAAAGGAACATGCCTGTGGGAACCCGGAACTGAATCTTACAGATGAGGGTCGAGGCCACATGCCCAAATACCACGTGCAGCTGAGGGTGATGCTGACTTGGCAGTTTGGACCCGGCCAACATGCTGTTTCGGAGGGAGTCGTCTATCCCCTACTCTTCCAGTGGTACTGGAATTCCCGAGTTCCGGGCTGTTTGGATGCTGATTGCTGCTTTTAAGCAAATGTTTAAAAGGTCTCTGGGTATACAGTTAGGTCAAAGAATACACTGCCAGGTAATTATTTTAATATGCGTCTCTGGGTAGAAGCAGTTGGACAGAATAACGTTTGTGAAAGGATACGTAATTGATCTTGTTTTAGAGCCTCTTTCATCAGGGGTGCCCACTGGGTACAGGCAGACTTGAAAGAGCCCCTTTGTGTAGTGACAGTCCCCTAAGGTGGGTGCAAGCCGTGTGGTTTGGTTCCTTTTTAGAAGGAACAGAGAGGAAATGTTCTTGTGGGGAGGGTGGGGATTCCTGTGAAGGAGGCAGACTGTGGCAGGACTGGAGAATGTTGGAAGAGGTATACTGTAAGAATAAAACAATATATTTATATATTATATATACATATAGATCATACATATTTATATAATATATATAATTTTATGCTAACAAATACTTAAGCTTTTTTTTTTTTTCTTTATTGATTTTAGAGAGCGAGGAAGAGAGAAGGAGAGAGAGATAGAAGCATCAATGAGAGAGAAAGAACGTTGATGGGTCGCCTCCTGCATGTCCCCCACTGGGGATCAGACCCACAACCTGAGCATGTGGCCTGACCAGAAATGGAACCATCCATCTTTTGGTGAATGGGTCTATGCTCAGCCACTGAGCCACACCAGCCAGGCAAGCCTTCTTAATTCAAAGAAAAGCCACCAAGAAGGGACAACCCTAGTAACCTCAAAATGCTAGGACTCCACTAGGGACAATCTCCCTTTAGAAGGGTATTGTAAGTTGGGATAATGTTTTTTGTATCAGCACACTTCTCACTGTAAAGGTTCTCTAAAGCTCTGGCATTTCTACCCAATAATTTACCAATAAGCAGTTAAAAACAAAGTTAATTGTTAATATTGCATTTACTAAGAACATTTACCATGTTCAAGGGCTCTGTGTTTTAAAGAGGCCAGAAGTACTTGAGCACCTACTAGGTAGGAAGGTTGATTTACATGTTACCTATGAAATGAGTAAATGATTTGAGAGAGGTTGAAGTTACTTCCCAGAGGTCACCCAGAGAATGTGTAGTAGGTCCAAGATTTCTATTCAGGTGGTTTCTATTCAGTCTCCAAAACCTTTATTCTCACCACACTGCTACACTGACAAAGGCATGATTAACATGCCTTCAGCAGCTTTCCTGATCTGTAGAAGTTTCTGTAAACACTGCACATCTGTAACAATCTATAAACAGTTGCACAAGGTATTGAGGAACTATGCATACATAAATAGCTGGATGCATATATTATCAACAGGTATAAAGTAACAGTAAGTAAATTCTTACAGAACACTGTAGAGGGAAAATAGTTGCAAAACAGCTCCAAGTATCTCAAATTTTAATATGCTAATAAAACACCAGGGGATCTTGTTGAAGCCAACTCTGATTCAGTAGGTCTGGAATAGGACTTGAGGTTTTGTGTTTCTAACTAGATGTTGCTGATACTGCTGGTCCATGCACAACTCTTTAAGTAGCGATATTTAACTTGAATGTGTGAGGGATTTGGGGATGGAGAAGAGGAGAGGTGAGTGAGAATGGAAAATACTTGGAATTGATGGCTGAAAGTTGTGACTATTCCACAAACTAAAAGATAATTATAGTTTCTAGGTACCTAATCTAACCATTCTATCCTCTATTCTGAGGATACTTTTCTATTTATCATCAGATAGAGTGAGAGGGAGGGTGAGTGAGAGAGGAGAGAGACAGAGAGAAACATCGATGTGATAGAGCCACATCGACTGGCTGCCTCCCAGGGCTAGGACCAACCACAACCAAGGTAGGGCCCTTGACCAGAATCAAACCCGAGCCTCATTGGTCCGTGGACCGAGGCACTAACCACAGAGCCAACGCAGCCAGGGCTAAGTTTTACACTTTCAAAAGTCACTACTTATGGTAAAGATCCTGGCTCGGTTCTCACTGGCAGTAATGGTCATTGTTTTGTGGTATGTTTTTGTTTCTTTCAACATCTGTGTTCTGTTCTCTATTTCATAGTACAAAAGGTTACGTACACTGACTCAAATTTGTAATGACCGATAGCCACATCACACAAGAATCTTTTGCTCAATAGTATACTATAACATGGAATTTTAAATTTATAGACCTGGAATTTCTTTAGCAAGTTGCCTTCATATGCAAGTTTCATTGATTTACAATGTTAAAAGGGAATTTTTTTTAAGTCCAGAAAATATAAGACAGGCTAAAGTAAAAAATGCACTAATTTTCTGGGATAGGCCAGCAAGAACAATATTCACTGTGAAGTTTATGTGGAGAAAGAACAAGTAAAATAGGAGAAACAGTGATGTCTTTTACTTACTTACTGTTCACATCCTTTCCAATTTTTATTGATGGGCAAGTAGCCTTTGTACATTCTAGATATCAATCCCTTGCCGGTTGTAGACATTATAAACATCTTCTTCCAGTCCTCACCTGTCTCTTCACTTTGCCCATGATGTTCTTCCTTGGATGGAAGTTCTTAATTGAGCTTAGGAAACCAAAATTAAGAATATTAATCCTTATGGCTTGTTTTTTTACAACTTTAAGAAGTTTTTCTCTACCCCTAAGTCACAGATATTTTTCTGCATTTTTTTACATTATTTTAGTTTTATCCTTCACCTCAAAGTCCATTGTACTTCAAATTTGCATATGGTGGGAAAGAGGAAGGCAGCTCATTTTTTCTATGTAAATAGAAAATTTCAGCAAATTACCTTATGAATCAGGGCTTAGCAAACCTTTGCGGTAAAGGGTCGGACAGTAAATATTTTAGACATTGGGGGATGTCTCTGTTGCAGCTACTCAGCTCTGCCACTGTAGTGTGAAGGCAGTCAGACAATATGTAAACAAAAAAGAGTGACTGTGTTCCACATATCATGAAATATTCTTATTTTAATTGTTAAATAACTGCACTAAATAATAGTACAGTTTTAGCTTTACAGAAAAATTAAGCAGAAAACACGGAAGGTCCCCATATACTTCCTGTCCCCACACATGCACAGCCTTCCCTACTATCAACATCCCACAGCAGAGTGGTGCATTTGTTACAACTGATAAATCTACACTGGCACATCATCGCTCTTGTTGTTGTGCCATCTATGGGTTTTGACGAATATAATGACATGTATGCACCAGTACAGTTTCATACAGAGTAGTCTCACTACCTCCTATAGACTGAATATTTGTGTCCTCCCCCAAATTCGTATGTTAAATCCTAACACCCAATGTAATGGTATTTGGAAATGGAGTTTTTTGGAGATGATTAGGTTGAGCCCTCATGAATGGGATTAGTGTCGTTATAAAAGGTCCCTTGCCCACTTCCACCATGTGAAAACACAGCGCAAAGGCAGTTGTCTATGAACCAGAGAGCAGGCTCTCACCAAGTATCAAGTCTGCTGTTGCCTTGATCTTGGACTTCCCAGACTCCAGAACTGTGAAAAATAAATGTATGTTGTTTATAAACCACCAAAATGTGTACGGCATTTTGTTACAGCAGCCCAAAAGGATTAAGACACTGCCCTAATAATCCTCTGAGATCGGCCTATTAATTTCCCCCCTTCCTCAACCCCCAACAACCACTTGTTTTTTTATTGTATCCATGGTTTTGCCTTTTCCAGAATGTCATATAGTTGGAATTACACAGTATGTTGCCTTTTCAGACTGGCTTCTTTCATCTAGTTATTTGCATTTAAGGTTCTTCCATGTCTTTTCATGACTTGATCATATCTTTTTAGTACTAACTAATGTTTTATAATTTGAATGCAGTACAGTTTATTTCTCCATTCGCCTACTGAATGACATCTTAGTTGCTTCCAAGTTTTAGCAATTATGAATAAAGCTGCTATATATATCAATGTGCAGATTTTTGCATGGACATAAGTTTTCATCTACTTTCCATAAACACCAAGGAACGTGACTGCTGGATTGTATTGTAAGAATATAGTTTTATTTAAAAAAAATTCCAAACTGTCTTCCAAAGTGGCTGTGCCATATTGCATCCCCAAAAGAAACAAACGAGAGTTCCCATTGTTCCACATTCTCACCCGCATTTGGTGTCGTTAGTGTTTTGGATTTTGGCCATTCTAATAGGTATATGGTGGTATCTCATTGCTGATTTATTTCCTAATACTATATAATGTTGAACCTTTTCATATGCATACTTGCCATCTGTATATCTTCTTTAGTGAGGTGTCTATTCAGGTTTTGGCTCATTTTTTTGTCCGGTTGTTTGTTTTCTTCTTGTTGACTTTGAAGAGTTCTTTGCATATTTTGTATAACAGTGTTTATCAGATATGGCTTTTGCAAATAGTTTCTCCTAGTCTGTGGCTTGTCTTCTCATTCTCTTGCTGGTATTTTTTGCATAGCAGAAGTTCTTAATTTAATGAAGTCATGTCTTTTTTTTTTTTAAAGATTGTGTGTTTGCTGTGGCAACTAAAAAGTCGTCACCAAACCCAAGATCATCCAGATTTTCTATTATGTTACATTTTAGGAGTTTTGTAGTTTTTTGTTTTACATATACAATGATGATCCATTTTGAGTTAGTTTTTGTGATGGGTGTAAGGTTTATGTCTGGATTTTTTTTTTTTTTTTTTCATGTGGGTATCCAGTTGTTCCAGCACCATTTTGAAAAGACTTCCTTTGTCCTTTGTCAAAGATCAATTGACTATATTTGTGTGAGTCTACTTCTGGACTCTCTTATGTTCTATTCATCTATTAATCTATTTTTTCACCAACACCACATTTCCTTGATTACTATAGGTTTATAGGAAGACTTGATGTTGAGTAGTGTTAGTTTTCCAACTTTATTCTTCTCTTTTAATATTGTGTTGGGTATTTTTTTTTTCTTTATTGATTTTAGAGAGAGAGCAGGGAGAAAGAGATAGAAACATCAATGAGTGAGAACATCAATTGGCCACCTCCTGTATGCCCCCACTGGGGACTGGGCCCACAACCTGAGCTTGTGCCCTAACCAGGAATGACCTCTTGGTGCATGGGTTGATGCTCAACCACTGAGCCACATTGGCCAGGCTGTGTTGGCTATTTTGAATCTTTTACCTCTCCATGGAAACTTTAGAATTAGTTTGTCAATATCCACAAAAATATGTCACTGGGATTTTGATTGGGACTGTTTTGAATCTATAGATCAAGTTCGGAAGAACTGACATCTTGACAATATTGAGTTTTCTTACCCATGAACATGGAATATTTCTCCAACTAATTTTGTTCCTTTATTTCGTAGTTTCCTTGTATAGATCTTGTCATATGAATTCTAGAATTCAGTATTTGAGGTTCAAAAAATCACCTAGAGTTTTTAATTGTTATTACATTGAATTTATAGATAAATTTGAAGGGAATTGAATATTTGCTATGCTAAGTTTTCTCCATTCATGAATACATTATCTCTGCAATTACTCAGATCTTTATTTCTTACAATGGAGTTTCTGAAAGTTTCTCTGAGAAGGCCTTGCACATTCTACCTTAGGGTAATTGCTAGATAATTTCTGGTTTTTGTTTCTATTGTGAATAATTTCTGTTATATTTTCTAAAAAAAAATATTTATTCATAGAGGAAACTTAAAGAGTTGTTAAATTAATCTTACATACAACAACCTCACTTTAATTAGATTTGAAAATGTGTTACTTTCATTAGGTTTTCTATATAAATCATCACATTTTATCTTTTTTTCCTAATCCATCACCTCTCTATTTATATGTATTAATTTAATTTGAAAATGGTATGCGGGGACAAAAAGATTAAAATTCAATATATATCAGATTTTTCAAAGCTTTATAAAAGTAATTGGAGAAAATGTCCGCTAAATTGTTTAAAGAAAATATGGCATCAACAAAAATCAAAATTTACCTAAAAATAATTGTAACAGTTATCCTAAGATAACTATTTTGATGCCTATAAACTCTTTTCCTTGGGATTTCTCTCTTGACTAATGTGGTCAAGAAATAGGCTCATGTGAAACCTGAGCCTTAGGGATAGTTCCTTATCTGCAGCCCCAGGGAAGGGATGTGGCTGTTCCTGGTCTAGCTTCGGGCCATGCAGCCATGTGGACCACTTACATCAGAATCACCTTCTGTGCCTGAGAAAAATGAAGATTCCTGGCCTCACCCTAGGACTTGAAAAGAAGAAATCTCTGCTGATATTACCTGGACAACCACAATTTTAACACAACATGCCCCCCCACCCCCTTCCCCAGTGATTCCTTCATCCACAAAGCTTGAGAATCATTATGTTGGAGAACCGGACCTCCAGACAAATGGACATCACCAACAAAAGTCTGGTAGCCCCCATCTCCTCCTTGCTCCCCAGTCTAGAAGCTTGGGAGAAGAAATGGAGACTTCTATTCTCCATTTCATCTTACAAGAACCTTGACATTCTTTATTGCATAAAAGGAAACCATGAAAATGACTGGCCCCAAATAAAAATAATTTATTTGCCTACACAGAGCAAGCCATAGTACAGGTTTAAGGACACCTCTAAAGAGTTGGTGCTGTTTCCTTCCGGAAATAGTAGAGATATTCTCTCATGGGCACAATTACTAAAGAGTAGGCCCTGAAGTTGATCAGGGACTCACTCCTGCCACAACAGGAAAGCTTGGGGAGTCGGTGTGTGTGTGTGTGTGTGTGTGTGTGTGTGTGTGAATGTGCCAGTCGCTGGCTTTACTTCCGCAGCAGGAACGTGACTCCAGGGCAGAGCGAAACCCCAGACCCAACACCGGATTAGTGGTTTTATGTTTCCATTGAAGTATTATTGCTAGCCCAAAAATCTCACAAGGAGTACAGTATTTACCAGATATTAAATACAATTTAAAATTTTACATTGCATAAATTTAGTAATTTCTAAAAATGACCATGATGCAAGTATTAGAACAAAGGAAAAAAACTCACCTAGAGGTTTAGATTTTTTTCATTTCTAAAACGTCAAAGGCACTGCAAGCATAGCTTATATTTGTTGTAAAACCTCACATTTCAACACCTAGGGTCCTTATTATGGTCATGATTACTAATAAGATTTTAGTGTCTCAAGGCTATCTTCATTTAGTCCTTAAACCAAAATAAAAATTAAACAGATTAGTTTCCTTCAAAAAAATTTTAAAAAGAATTTGCATTGGGAATTTTTTTTAAACTCGATTTTAAAGAGGGAGGAAGGGAGAGAGAAAGAAACGTCTATGTGAGAGAGATACATCAATCAGTTGCTTCTGATATAGCCCAGGTATGTGCCCTGACTGGGAATTGAACCCATGACCTTCCAGTGCATGGGCCGATGCTCCAACCAGCTGAGTCATACCAGCCAGGGTGAGAAAACCTTTATTGCACATCACTGAATTCATTTCTATTTGAACAAACAGTGCACACAAAAAAGATTCAGGTTATAAAAATCCCTAAAACTTCTAATCAGCATTTTGCAAGGATAGAGACTTAGTTTTTGTGTCTTTTAAAAACATTTCCTACTAATTTTTGAAATTTTGAGGGTAACTGTTTTAAAAAATATTTTTAATATGAGCTATGGAATCCACAGTTCCTGACCTAAAATGCTACTCCTTTCTAAGAGACCAAATGCACCTACGAGGGCAAATGGTCCATCACAGTGTTCACAAGGCCACGCCAGTACTAATACAATAATCCTTGTGGGACCGAACATGCATTCGATATGTGTTTTCATTTTCATATATAGATATATATAAAAGATACTCTTTCAACTTTTTACTGTAACACTGAAGGAGAAGAGAAAATTTATACATGCATACTAAAAAATCCTGATCCTCTCCAAAACTAAAAGAAGTATATCACTGTTGTCCTTCACAACCAAATATTGGATTGTTAGCTGGTGATGGTTGTTTATTATTCTAGCCTGTCTTAAAATGCAGTGATTACTGGATACACAGCAGCCATCTCCTCTCTCTCACCACGGACCCGAAAGTGGCCCAGTCCAGGGGTAGGGAGCTGTCTGGAGTCACTGTCAGGCCAGGTATTGTTTTCCACCAATGCCACACTCGGCACAGCCCTAATCACTGTAAGCCACAGGTTAAGAGCGAGAGTAAAGAGTGGCATAGACAACACCTTCTCAAGCTGTGGCAAAATAAAGAAAGAACAAGAAACTAATAGCTTCCCTAGTCAAAGTTAGGGTTTTGGTTTGTTGTTTTTTCTAAATAAACCTTACATAAAGCTGAAAAGACATTAAATATTGCTTTTAAAATTATAAAACTAATGAAGTACAAACCTAGTGAGTTTTTAGTGAATTACAGCTATCAATTTGCTCAAAATAATAGTCTTCAAACATAGTCCACCAGATCTTAAAGTATCTATATAATCTCCCAACTCAGCCACACATCATATTTTCCTCTAGAGCACAGATAAGCCCGATAGCTACTTTTTACAACAGCAGAATATAGACACTGGAGGGTCATCGTCTAATCTGTATTTTCCAGAGTTGGGTAGATCTTTGCACTCTGATATAAATGTACGAAGTCTGGTCTCCGGGAAGCCCTCTTGTTGGTAATGCTGTACGGAAGAATAAAAAAATAGCTCTCATTAATAAACTCCTTGAAAACAGCTTTATTCATTGAAAATAGCTCACTTGGCAAGGGAGGAGACCTTTCTAGAAGGGTAGTTTGGTCACTTCCAAGTATTTTCATAGAGCCACTCTTAGGCTTGGCTGAGATAAAGTGGGCCTGAAATTCTGCAGTGCCCTCCTGCCCTCTCCTTTGTGGGTCTGGTTCAACCCAAAATGAGCATATTGGATCTGAACCAGTCTGAGCTCTCCTTCCAGGAAGAATCCAGCCAGTCCTGTTCCAGTTCTGAGAATCTCTGTCACCACTTCGTCCTGCAGCTCATGCCTTGCAGGCTACTGTTTGTCAGGCACCTTGGATGCAACTGGTTCAGGCCACAAGTAGCCCAGCTGATGCAAATAACAATGGTGTTGTTGGGACCTGAGGGGTGGGCATACCTAGCCTTCCTCGGAAGACCTCAGCCCAGTCCTGAATGCCCCTAAGCCAGTCCAGGTGTCTGGACGAAGATCTGGATGCTGTGAGGGACCTTTCCAGTCTGCATACCCTTTTTGGAGTCTCTCTTCTGGACAGACAGGCTTGTTTAAGGGCCTCCTATTTATATCATTTTGGGATATAAGAACTCTAGAATGTGCCCTGACCAGAAAGGGTCAGAAACAACTTAGCTTTCTAACTCGTAAGTGCCCTGAGCCAGGGAAAAGAGGTTGACATCTAAACTACGAGTCTCAGGCTTGTGTTATGGAGAGTTGTCAAGTCATGTTCCCCTGAGAGATACTGGATGTTACCTTTAAATAACAGATAGTTCTCAGCACACAGAGTGGAAGGTAGTAAATTTTTAGAGCATTATGGGGAGGGATTTGGACAAGTACAACTACATTCTTTCCCGGTCACCTTGGTGACTCCAGGCACAAATCTGCCAAGCAAGTATTGAGGACAGTCAGTTCCTAAAATCTGATGCAATGAGAATGAAGTCATGGCCCTGGCTTCATGAGCAAGATTTTCATAATTATCAACTCAAAATCTATCAACTCCCAGTGGCCTTCTCTTATCCCTGGACCATCATGTTTCATGACCCCTCTCGTACCCAGAAAGCGAAGTCCCCAAGTGAAAGTGTCTATGCAAATAGTGTGCCTAACAGTACATATAAGGTTATTAGAAATTTAAGTATATATGTTCAGAGGGCTTAAACTGGTTGTAAAATATGCCTTGGAATAATAATGTAAATAATAACATCTTTTGAAATCAAGTTCTTAATGGGGAGGGGACCATTCAGAGTCTTGCAAAGAGTAATGGGTTTAGGTACAGCACACTTTGAATGAAAAGGTCAATTTTTCTTTATGAAAACTGGATTTTAGAAGTTCCCCACCCCAAATTTTGGCTTTTTGGAATGCCATCTGTTTTACTCACCCAATACCTACTGATCCTTATAATTCTAATAAAAGGTTAGGTTTGTATAAAAAAGCACAATTACATGAAGACAAAACTTTCAACATTCTAGAAATTCTATTTCTCCTTCATTTCTGTTTCTCATTATCTAAAATTGTTTCATTATCTAAAATTGAAGTCCTTCTTCTCCACCCTGAAGAAATTAACATTCCATCAGTCCCAGCCACACCCCATAGATATTATATTTTATTGTCCTTCTGCAAGTTCTAGGAGATATTGCCATTTATGGCTACTGATGAACCTACCTTAATCGTTTCATATGTATCAGTGATCAGTGCAATGAAAAGACTCAAAATCATGTATATAAAGAGACTGATGAATGTGTAGAGGTAAATTTTGCTAAATAGCCAGACCAAGTAACTTTTTTGGTGCATTCCTGCAAATGTGGCAAACATATCATCTCCATTTATCAAAGAAAAAAGGCACTCGGAGACCAAGTTCAGAGAACGGAACTGAAAAAAAGAGAAAAATTCGCGTTATTCTATGTTCCTTCCCATGGATGACATCATATTAAAAATAATGGGACCAGGTGTCCCAAGTTACCCCCCCCCCTTTTTTTGTCCCATGCCCCTAGCAGGAACCAAACCCAGGACTCTCTGGTCCACAGGCTGACGCTCAACCGCTGAGCCAAACTGGCCAGGGTGAGTCAAGTTACCCTTTCAAACCAATAACCTGAGGTAACTACACACATTTGCTTGGTTATACCACAACATGGGCAGGCCTACTATTTTTCCTGGGACAAGCAGCTGCCTTTTGAGGCTCCTGTTAAGAGGTACATGCTGAATGGAAGGCAGAAGGGGCTGGGTCCATGCCCTCAGGGCTTTCGTGAGTCAAGCTTTATCCTGCCCTTTACCTTCATGGGGAGAGATCCTTGAAATGCTGCTTCTGCGAAACCCAGGTCCCAACCACGCATGATCATACTTCTCATCTTAAAGTTCATGCCACTTAAGATAATAGCATTATAGTTAAGACCATGATTCCAGTAACAAATATTCAAATATTTCTACCAGTTTCTCCCTACACTACTTTTTAAATAAAATCACATTTCAAGATATCTTAACTAAGAGCCTCCTCTAATATACATTGATTAATCAAATCGACTAAACTTTACTTCACTGGTGGAAAAAGGACTTAATTATTTGGCCTACTGAGGAAGTCGAGTGAATCAATTATTCTCTCAGGATGGTCGCACTTTACCGGTTTAGAAACATGGCAATAGATATACTACCTTCAGTATATTAAGGCTGAGTCACCAAATAAAAGGAGTTCATTTGAAAGGATGCTGGCACTATTCTAAGAGCTTAGTGGTACCTAGACAACAGATGGTATGTCAGTACCTTCTCATGGTAAGGCCCCAGCACAATCCATCCACAGAAGCAGTAGCCAAAATAAATCACAGCTGCACAGCAGCAGAACCTCATGACATTGGGCAGCGCCGCCTGGAGGGTCAAGATGAGGAGCTGGGAAAGTAACACAGGTCATCAGAACCCTTCTGTCCTTCAGCCAAAGCAGAGCAATAACGATAAAAGGAGAAAGACCAACAGCGCAGAGAGCCTTGGGATTTCTTACGTTGTACTTGTGAAAGAAACTGAGGTATCGGATGACGCCAATCCACACAAGCAAGGTAGAGGTCCCAAGAAGTATGCTGCAGACGTCATAACTTGTTAGACTCTAAAAGAGAGTGGGGAAAAGTAATCAGAAATTCCTATGAGCAAGGACTATTTATTGGGTAGCTTAGGAGTCGGGCACTGTTCTAAGTGCTAAGGACAAAGCAGTGAACAGGCAAAATTTCCTACTCTCATAAAGCTTACATTCTAATGAGCGGAAGAGAGATAACAGCAATACATTAATAAACACTTGACACATTAGCTGATGGTAAGTGTGGAGGAGAAAATTCAGGAGAGGGGATAAATAATGCCTAGGGAGTTGCCTTTTAAGTAGGGTGGTCTGGAAAGTCTCACTGAAAAGGTGGCATGTGAGCAAAGTCCTGAATGGAGCGAGGGAGCAAACCAAGCAAAATCAAGGAGAGCTTTTCAGGCACAGGAAGGAACTAGTAAGTGCAAAAGCTCTGAGGCAGGAGGGCACCTGGCAGAATTACTAAGTGTGATCCGTGGGGATAGCATGAAGTCATAGAAGTAAGGGGGCAGGTGGTTAGGGCCTCACGGATAATTTAACAACTCTGTCTTTACTCTGAACAGGGTAGGGAGATTTGAGAGCACTGAACAGGAGTGACATGATCAAATATTGGCTGCTGCGGCCGAGCACAGATTGTTAGAGGAGTGAGAAAACTATTGCAATGATGTAAGTGAGAGCCATGGTGACCTGGTGGTGGAGATGATGGGGTGGTTTTTGAGAGCAAATCAACAGGATTTCCTCTTGGATTAGATGTGGGGGAGAGGAGAGTCAAGGATGGATCTATGACTTTGGTCTTGAGAAACTGAAAAGAGTTGGTATTCACCTCAGTTAGAAAGGAGAAGGAGGTTCAGACTGTGGAGGTGGGGATCTTAGCAATTCTGTTTTAGTTTCGTTAAATTTGAGAGGCCACGGTGACATCCAAGTGAAGATGTGGAATAGACATTTGGATATTTGAGATATCTTCAGGAAGAATTCCAAGCTGGAGACACAAATGTGCAAATCATTGGCATGGAACAGAATAGATCTCCAAGACAGTGGCAGAAAATAAAAGATGTCCAAGCACTGAACCCTGAAGCACTGTCACTGTAGTAGGTTGGAGAGATGAGAGGAAACTGGCAAAGGAAAGTCAGAAGACCAGCCCTAGGTTGAGGGGGAAAGCAAGGTAAGTAGGAGCCCAGCAAAAAAGTGTATCAACAAAGAGGGAGTGTTTGCAGTGTTAAAAGCTGCTAATAAGTCAGAACGATCTATTGATTATTGATTAATCCAATACTTGATTATTGGACTTAGTAGCATGGGAGGTCCTTGGGAAGAACACTTTCTTTTCTTTTCTTTTTTTTTTTTAATCCTCACCCAAGGACACTTTTCCATCTTTTGTACAGATAGAGTAGGAGGGAGAGAGAGAGAGAGAGAAATATCGACGTGAAAGGGACACATTGAGTGGCTGCCACCCGCACGACCAACCAGGGCCAGGGACAAACTGCAACCGAGGTACGTGCCCTTAGCGGGAACCGAACCCGGGTCTCTCTGGACCGCAGGCCTACGCTCTAACCGCTGAGCCAAACCGGCCAGGGTGGGAAGAACACTTTCTATGGAGTGGCAGGGCAGCCCATTTGAAACAGATACAGGAGACAATGGGAAGAACAGAATCAGAAACAAGATGAACTACTCTGTTGAGGTTGTGTTTTTTGGTTTTTGGTTGTTGTTTTTTTTTGCTATATAAAGGGGAGCATAAAATGGGGAAGTAACTTGAGGGGGAAACTGGTTAATGTTTTGTCTTTTTAGAAAGGAGGAAAAAAAAATGAGGATGTATAAGGAACGGAAGAAGTATAGTGGGAACTGTGCCCTTGAGTAAGCAAGTGGACGCAACAGGTGGTAGGAATGTGGAGTTGGCCTTGGATAGTAGCCTAAATAATATATCCACAGTAACAGAGAAAAAGCAGTGTGTGGGCACTGATGCTGGTAGGTAGATCAATGAATGGAAGTCTGTGGAATTTCTTTTTTTTTTCCTATTGTTCTTTTGAAATAGAAAATGAGGTCATCAGCTGAGAGTGGGGATGAGGCGGTGGTGTTAGAGGATCCAGAAGAGAAGAAACATATGCAATTATCATCTAGATGGGGGTAGTGAATGGTCTAGAGAAATGTGGAAAGATTGTCGATTACCATTAAGAGCTCATTGAGGTTAATGATGGTTGAGGTTGGTAAAAAATACAGATTTTCTGCAAATCTTCCCCCAATCCTTTCCCCCCCCTGAAGTTAAATATTTATTCTGATGATTTATACAACAGTTAGGACGTGGTGGCAGCTGTTCCGTGTCAACCTAAACCTATTCTCTCCTTCCGAGGCACACGCCCAGGCTGTATTCCCCAGCACCCCTTGCAGTTAGATGTGACTAAAATCTCCCCAGTGGGATGTGAACAGGAATGAAGGCTACCTCATTGAGCCAAGGCCGTAAGACTGGGAGAGCTACCTCCAGACCAGACCATGTTTTCCCTTCCAAGGGCTGCAACCTGACTGGGAGACGACCCAGCATCAATCGCGCAGTCTAGAAGAGCCTGTGATGGCTGGCAGATAAACCAGATGGGAGAAACTTCGGTCCCTGAATGACTGCATGGAGCTGAGCGACTCAACAACTTGGAAAAGCCACCCTGACTGTTACATGAGGGAGAAATAGCTCCTATTTTATCTGAGCCATTGCATTTGGGGGTCCCTGCCCAGGAATCTGAATCATAACAGGCTATCCTTATTTTTAGTTGCAGCCAAGGCTAGAAAAATACAAATTTAAACGATATTCATTTGAGCAATTTTAGTTTTTTACTTTGATTTTTGCTTTGGAGGAGAGGGCTGATATCTAGTCTGGGTTAGACCTAACTCAACATGGAAACTTTGTAGCCCATCATTGGGAAAAATAAGAACATTGAAACATTCTCAATTTGAATGGACAAAGAAACAACTACAGCTCTCACCATAGTTTGGCCTCACTCCAAACCCCACAGCCCTCCTCTTTGTGTTGAAGACTCTGGCATTTCTTATAAGAACAACAAAAAAGCACCCCTTACCTTAGTTATCTTGGTATGGTTATGAATTTTGGTATGAGTAAGAATTCACAGGCCCCACCCCAGAGTTCAGATTCAGTAGGTCTAACTCGGACATTTTTTACCAGGTACCCAAATGATTCTGATGCAGACTTTTGAGTCTTTGAGAAACTCTGCCTAAATGATTTCCTGACTAGATTTAAGAAAACAGTTGCTGTCAATTCCAAGTTTACTCAATATAATGTTTTAAAAATATCATTTACTCTACAAACCCCCACATTCTTAGAAAATAAATTACTACTGATACAAATCTGATACTAACAATGGCCTAAATAGGAAAAAAATTTACCTTGGCTTGGATTTCCATTTTCAGAATTGATCCAATGATTGTCAATAAGTCACTGATAATAATCATAATGTACCATCCATTGACAAATTCCATTTGATCAGAAACAGAAACCTCCTGCTTATAATGGACGAGGAAAAAATTGACAAATTCCTTCAAGGAAAAAAGAGGAGGCACGTGAGTCTCTGTCAATCAAAATGGCTGTAACATTCTCAGAAAGCAACAACCTCTACCTGTTGAAGCTGAATTCCTTTAATCACAGATCGTAAGCACAGGATTAACGAAGCCAAGCACATCAGGATGACAAAGGCATCAAAGATCATCATGTAATGAGTGTTCCTCTGAACTGGAAGGGAAAAGATTACCTGTTTATGAAGTAGGACATTAATATGGTGACAACTATTTTCCCTTTTCATTTTTAGCCTCATTTATTTTAACAGTTGCTTTGTCTACCGCAGTATAGATGTACAGTATGTTAAAGGACACTCAGATTATAATCTGTTTTTCCCTACTGGAAACAATTCTCCAAGTCCTCTTGGTGCACAGGTGCAAGGTTCTTTAGGTGAATGAATATCTAAAGGTGAAATTGTTGAGTTAAGACATATGCATATTTCTAAAATGAGATCCTAAGAAACTGTTCTCCAAAAAAGATCATGCCTCTTTACATACCTACACAAATCACATCTTCTCCACCACTGGATATTAGTAATCTTTAATTTTTGCCAATCAAAAGAGCAAATCTATTATTCCCAATGGTTTGAAATGCCATCTTTATCATGTGCCAAATTACTGTATTTATCTTTACCCTTTTGATGTTTTTGAGTATTTTTTTTTTTTTTATCCTCACCCGAGGATGTTTTTCCATTTTTTGTACAGATAGAGTGGGAGGGAGAGAGAGGAACATCGACATGAAGGGACACATCGCGTGGCTGCCACCCGCACAACCAACCAGGGCCGGGGACAAACTGCAACCGAAGTACGTGCCCTTAGCGGGAACCGAACCCGGGTCTCTCTGGACCGCAGGCCGATGCTCTAACCGTTGAGCCAAACTGGCCAGGGCTGTTTTTGAGTATTTTAATGCCTAAGACAAATATCTCTCATTACTCTTTTCTGAAATTTTGCTGGCTATTTTTCCTTACTTATTTTTCACATATTCCAGATTTTCAAATTCAAAAAAAAAAAAAAAAATCTTGCTGGTAATTTTTGGAAGTGGATCTTGTCAAATTTAAAGATTACTTTAGGGAGAATTAACATATTCATAATATTGACTCTCTTTTTTTTAATCCTCACCCGAGGACATTTTCCCTTTTTTTTTTTTGTTCAGGTAGAGTGGGAGGGAGAGAAAGGAACAGAGAGAGAGAGAGAGAGAAACATCGACGTGAAAGGAACACATCGAGTGGCTGCCACCCGCACGACCGACCAGGGCCGGGGACCAACTGCAACCGAGGTACGCGCCCTTAGCGGGAACCGAACTCGGGTCTCTCAGGACCGCAGGTCGACGCTCTGATATTGACTCTCTTGTCCAAAAACATGGCGTGCCTTTCCATTGATTCCATTGCATCCTTCCAAAGAATTTTCAAATTTTATATGGATCCTTCACATTCCTTTTTAGAGTAATTTAAATAATTCATGTATTCTTTACACAAAGATAACAAAGAGAAAAGGCCCTGATAAATGTTCTTCCTATTAGTATTTAGAAGGTTCAAAGTCCTTCTTTTAAAAATCACAACCATCAATCAAAGATCTTTAACTAACAGCTTGTGGTCTCTTGTTCTTAACACAGTTAGCCTCCCTGCATATCCTACTAAAATATACTTATCTAGATATAAAATATTTATTAAGAACCCACTATGGCCCTGGCCGGTTTGGCTCAGCGGTTAGAGCATTGACCTGCGGTACAGAGAGACCAGGGTTCGGTTCCCGCTAAGGGCACGTACCTCGGTTGCAGTTTGTCCCCGGCCCTGGTTGGTCGTGCGGGTGGCAACCACTCGATGTGTCCCTTCACATCGATGTTTCTCTCTCTCTCTCTTCCTCTCTCTCCCTCCCGCTCTGTCTGAACAAAAAAAATGCAAAAATGTTCTCGGGTGAGGATTAAAAAAAAAAAAAAAAGAACCCACTATGTGCCAGGTGTTTTTCTTGATGCTAAAGATACAATGATAAACAAGTTAGACAGCATCCCTATTTTTACAAATGAAAAAGCTAAGGCTCAGAAGAGACTCTTGGGGTCTTGGTCACACAGCAAGGGAGAAGTCAAGTAGGATTTGACCTTGAAGCATCTCACACATTATAGGTGTCTCCTCTCCGATCAAAGGTAGACTAAATGAGGAAAGATTGCATTCTCAGACTGAATGGCATCAAGAATCTTGAAGCTGAACTGGAGAAAATTGACTGAAAATAATTAATCTCATTTTCTAGTACCTTATAAGTAACTTAATGGTATGTTGTGCTGGACTTAAGTAGGTCAGGGACTCTTCGATTCTAGTGAGCAGAAGAATCACCCAGATGCCTAAGATGCCGTTTTCCCAGCTCCAGGTAAGACAGCCAGTATGTCTGGGGTGGGGCCTAGGAAGATGCAGGTGGTCCTTAATCATACCATACTTGGATAATAATTGCTTTAAGGTTTCCTACTGATCGATGCACAAAGTTCAGGAGTAGTAAAATGAAATAGTAAGAGTAAATACAATGAAATTTATTCATTTAGTATCCTTTTCACTAATAATAGGTAACTTCAAATTTATGCAACTCTTGAATCACAAATTTTATTTCAATCACAAATTGTTTAATTGAAACACAAACCTCTTTTGTCTTCTGTAAACACTGCAACCCTTCTCCACAAACTTTAGAATAGGGAAAATAAGACCATATAAAAATGCCTGACACATAGGTTTTCCCACAAATATTTATTTCTTTTTCTTTTTCTCTTGTTTTGTTAATCCTCACACAGGATATTTTTCCATTGACGTTTTTTAGATCGAGTGGAAGGAAGAGAAAGAAACATCGATGAGAGACACATCGATTGGTTGCCTCCCGCACAACCCTGACTAGGGCCAGGGATCAAACCTGCAACCCAGGTACATGCCCTTGACCGGAATTGAACCTGAGACCCTTCCATCTTAAGGGCCGATGCTCTAGCCACTGAGCCATACTGGCCAGGGCACAATGTTTATTTCTTAGTTGTTTTAACTTTTTCTAAAGTAGATTTAGATATTTATGTAACAATTAGATGCCCTTTGGCCAATATAATGGGACAGTTCACTACAGAACTAGCCCACCTGCCTTAACAGTAAAGAGCAATCTAACTCGTTGAATAGAGACAAGCTCTGTAGCCGAGCACAGGTTGGCTGAGACCTCTGCCAGGTGGCTCCATTCATGCTGCCAGGACTTTGCACTTGTGAGTTTCCAGAATCTCTGCATGGGTGGTTCTGTCTCATCACTCAGGTCTTACCTAAAACCTACTGCCCCCTTGTAAGGCCTTCCTTTACTATGCAATATAAATAACCTCTCTGTCCCCATTCCCCCACACCAACCTTGCGCACATAGAGCCACCGTGGTTCTCAAATGTTAATGTCACCTGGAGAGCTCATGAAAACAGTTTCTGATTCAGTGGCTTGGGCTGGAGAATGTGTGTTTCTGACAAGTTCCCAAAGGGTGCCAGGAACCAGTAATATGGAGTGACAGACTGCAAAGGTCTGAAACCTAACTCTGTCACTTACTGGCTGCGTAACCTCGGACAAGTCTGTAACCTCTCTGCGCTTCCGTTTTCTCGTCTGAGAAGTGGGGCTAATCACGTCTGTCTTATTGAGGTTGCTGTGAGGATCAAACGGGTTACTTTACATAGGGCGGTGAGAACTCTGTGTAGCATATCAATGCACGTTAGCTATTACACTTTATTTTCTTCACATTCTATCTGAAAGGGTTTTGCTCACTCACTTGTTACCCCCTTGTTTGTCTTACTGCAGTGGAATAGAGCTCTACTAGGTCAGGGGCCTTGTCTACCTGCAGAAGTAGGGGTGCTGCCCATCTCAAGGATTTTTAAAATTTTTAAACGAGGAAAATGTAGGTAGAAGTACTTATTCCATATGCATTAAAAATATTAGTTTGGGTGTAAATGATTTATTTACTTTTTGCTGGGGGATTGTGTTTGTTTGTTTTTTTGTTTTGTTTTTTAAGTAAGGAGTGAACCAACAGAGGCACTTGCAGAAGGCCGGAAAAGTCATTTTGATTATTAATAATTTATGTATTACCTGGAACATCTGATAACTACAATGAATTGATCTACTTGCAGAAAAATAGGGACTTGGAAACAGTACAGTTCTTTCATCTGATGCCCCACACATCCATGAGACCAGTAATTTAATAACCATTTTTGAAAACTAGTAAAATGTATCAGTTACCTGATCCAGACACGTGCCAGTCTTTACATTCTCTGATGGAAATGTCATTATCTAAACTTATCTTAATTCTTCCACTATGGGCTTTGTTGTCAAAAGTTATCTGCAAAGAAAAGGAAAGGGGTCAAAAACATACCGATGGTTTTTGATGCCAAGCTACCTCCATGCATAATTGGGAAACAATTCTTAAAATGGGAGTTAAGAATTTAACAATTCTTAAAATCAGGGAGACCCAGAGTCTCATCCCTGATCTAATGCTAACTCTGTTCAACCTTGGTAAGTTCGCCTTATTTCTCTGTGAAATGAGAAGTTCAAACTTTTGGTCTCTATGATTCTAGGACAGTATTCCAGCCCTGGACAACTTCTAAAAGAGACTTCCCATTCTAAGTCCCTCTAGATGCCTTCTTGGTATGAGCAAGAACTGGTACCAATAAATAAGCCACAGAGATGTAGTGTACAGCACAGGGAATACAGTTAATAATATTGTAATCACCTCATATGATGACAGATGTTACCAGACTTAGTATGGTGATCACATATCAGGGTATATAAATGTTGAATCACTATGTTGCACACCTAAAACTAATATAGCATTGTGTGCCAACTACACTTTAAGTTTTTTTAAAAAGCTCATTAAATAGTGCTTTTCCCCACAGTTAGGGATAGATTTTTAGTGCTGTTGCAATTCTTACTAACACAAAGAGGTTCGTTTTTTCTGTCTTGAAACATTTTAGGTGAAACTTTTTTGATTTTCCTTCTGGACCTATCTTAGTCATTCTAGACCCATATGTACCGCCAAGGATGTGGCCCCAGGGAATCACAGCCATGCCTTGCTTCAAGGATAACCCTTCAGGACACAGGCCCAGAGCAGGACAAAGCTGTACCAGAACCCTTTCCAGAGCCCGCTACTGCTCTCCCCTGAGCGCCCTCTGCTTTCCCCCTGAGCGCCCTCTGCTCCCCCCATGAGCACCCTCTGCTCTCCCCCTGAGCGCCCTCTGCTCCCCCCCTGAGCACCCTCTGCTCTCCCCCTGAGCGCCCTCTGCTCTCCCCCTGAGCGCCCTCTGCTCTCCCCATGGGCAGGGACTGGAAGGCAGGGTGGTAAAACCAGTCTTTTTAAAAATGCCTTCTCTCTCAAGTGCTTTTAAAAGTCTGTCATTTAAATGAGTTTTATTGCAGTTTCTTTATGTGGGGTAATCAAATATCACTTCAGATATAAGATGTCAAATAAATGTAATAATGAGCCTGGTCACTTTGTCTCCTCATGTTGGACTGTTAGCTTCTTTTCTTGACAAGCAACCAAGGCCATTGTCAATGTCTGTCCCTCCCCATAACCTGGAGGGCTCAGCTCATGACCTCACACAGGAAGATGCTCAGTATTATTCGACTGAGTTCCCCTTGCCAAAGGGAAATCATGTTTTTCCACAAAAGAGCCTCAGGGTCTTAGCAATAGCGGGTGCTCTCTAAATATCTGTTGAGTAAATACTCTTTGGTTTAGTGGCAATCACATCTCAGTAAGGCTTAGAAGAATCTGAATTCTTTAAGCAAAGAAGAAAAAATACTGGATGGGATTAACAACATATTAGATAGCACAAGAAAAAGATTAGTGAATTTGAAGACCTAGCAATAAAAACTATTCAAAATAAAACAGAGAGGGATAAAAAAAAAAAAAAAAAAAAAAAGACTAAACAATGAAACAAAAAGATAGCATTAGTGAGCTGTGGGATAACTTCAAGTGCCCAGACACTCACGTAATTAGAACCTCTGAATAGTGAGGGGGAAGAGACAGAGAAATATTTGAAGAAATAATATTGAGTAAATATCAAATATAATGAAAACTATAAACTCACAGAACCAAGATGTCCAATGAACTCTGAACATAAGAAACATAACGGGGTAAAAAAATTAAAAACTACACCAAGGAATAGCATGATCAAATAGTTAAAACCAGAGATAAAGATAAAAATTTAGCCCAGCCGGTGTGGCTCAGTGAATTGAGCGGTGTCCCATGGACTGAGAAGTCCCGGTTTGATTTCCAGTCATGACATATGCCCAGGTTGTGGGCTGATCCCCACGGGGGGGGGGGGGGGGGGGGGGGATGCAGGAGGCGGCTGATCGGTGTATCTCTCACATCGATGTTTCCATCTTTCTCTCCCTTCCTCTCTCTCTAAAAAAATCAATAGAAACATATTTTTAAAAAATTAAAAAGATAAAAATTTAAAACCAGCCAGGTGGGTGGGGCACATCCCATGCTGAAAAATAAAGATGAAGATGACAGGAGATTTCTCATCAGAAACAATGCCAGCTGGAAGAGCAACATCTTTAAAGCGTGGGGGTTGGGGGGGCAACCATGAATTCTATACCCACTGAAACTACCTTTTAAAAATGAAAGTGAAACACTTTTTCAGACATACAAAAGCTGAGAGGATCCATCGCCAGCAGGCCTGCACTATAAGAAATGTTAAAGGAGGCCCTTCCGGCAGAAGGAAAATGTGGCCAGATGGAAACCTGGCTCTATGCAAAGGAATGAAACATACTGGAAATGGTAACTATGTGGGCAGATGTAAATACTTTTTTCTTGTTATTTAAATGGCTTAAAAAATAATTGACTGTTTAAAGCAAAAATAATAACACACATCATGCATTTTGTAACACATCTGCAAAGTGAGTTGTATAACAACAACATAAAGGCTGAGATTAGAGAAATGAAGATACGGGGAAAGCAAAGGTAGGTTTACAGCTGTGAGTACACAAAACAGAGTTTGTCCTTGTATTAGTTATTTATTGTATGGTTTATTATTATTATTAACCTACTTTTGCCCACCCCTGTATGTTGTTGTTCGGGTCTTATACTATTTATGTAGGGATATATCATCTGAATGTAGAGTTTAATAAGCTAAATATGTGTATTATATACCCTAAAATAATACAATAAAGTTATAGCTAATAAGCTAACAAATGAGATAAAATGGAATCATAAAAATACTCAATCCAAAAAGAGGCAGAGAAAGAGAAACCAATTTAATAATCACAAGCAATTAAAATGGTCTAAGTACTATAATTTAAAAAGATTGTGAGTTTTGCATTAAAAAAACAAGACTCAACTATGTGCTGACTAATAAGAAATTCAGTTTAGCCCTGGCCGGTTTTGCTCAGTGGTTAGAGCATCGGCCTGCGGTCCAGAGAGACCCAGGTTCAGTTCCTGCTAAGGGCACGTACCTTGGTTGCAGTTTGTCCCCGGCCCTGGTTGGGTTGTGCAGGTGGCAACCACTCAATATGTCCCTTTCACGTTGATGTTTCTCTCTCTCTCTCTTCCTCCCACTCTATCTGAACCAAAAAAAAGTGGAAAAACTGTCCTTGGGTGAAGATAAAAAAAAAAAATTTAGTTTAAATATAAGCCAGAGAAACGTTTAAAAGGATTTAAAAAGATATACTATGCTAACACTAATCAGAAGAAAGCCGAAGTGGCTAAACTAACATCAAAGTAAATTTTAGAGCAAAGAATATTACCAGGGTTAGAGTGGTATTTTGTAATGATAAAAGAGTCAGTTAAAGTGAACACAAGAACCCTACATGCTTACACACCTAATAAAGAGCTTCAAAATACACAATGCGTCCTTGCTGGTTTGGCTCAGCGGTTAGAGTGTTGGCCTGCGGTCCAGAGAGACCCGGGTTCGGTTCCCGCTAAGGGCATGTACCTCGGTTGCAGTTTGTCCCTGGCCCTGGTTGGGTCATGTGGGTGGCAGCCACTCAATGTATCCCTTTCACGTTGATGTTTCTCTCTCTCTTTCTTCCTCTCTCTCCCTCCTGCTCTATCTGAACAAAAAATGAAAAAATGTCCTCGGGTGAGGATTAAAAAAAAATACACAATGAAAGAATTTATGAATGAATCCTAATATACACCTTTGCATTATAAATCCAACTGGGCACCCACAAAAAACGTTTAATAAATAGCTGTTGAATAAACTGAATATGCACTATATATCAGTTACTTAGGTAGGTCTTTTACATATGTTTTCTGTCGTGACAACAACTTTGTGAATTTTGTTTAACATATGAGAAAACTGAAGCTCAAACCAATGAAGTATTCCCCCTGAAGTTACATAGCTACTAAACTGGTGAGCTGTAATGAAAACCTAGGCTTGTCTGACTGTGAAGGCCATGCATTTTACATCAGGTGCTTGCTGCCCCAGTTCATGTTTACCTATGACAGTGAAGCTGCCCTAATGGCTTTTATTCTGAAAGCACTGTGTAAGATGTAAGTTCTACCACAGGCCCATGAGATGCACTGTTAAATCCACAATGCACAGGCATAGCTTGGGATGATTATATAACAGTGAAAATATAACATCGGCATGTGGCTGACAGGTCAGTTGCTTTACCACAATACTGAGTCCTTTAACAGGATCTCCATTTCACAAGTGTTTCATTTATTCATTCAACAAACATTTGAGACACCTACTATGTCCTTTGAGGGATGGAAAGATTAATAAAATGGTTCCTGCCTTCAAGGAGCTTTCAATCTAGCAGAGTTGATGACAGACACCTAGAAAACCCTAAAACAAAGAAGAAGGTGGTAAGACCATAGAAAACACAAAACAAAATAAAAATCTGGGCGTTCAAAGCACAGAATGTATTTCTAACTGAAGAATCACAAAAGGGTCCGTGTAGGAGGTGTCAGTTAAGCTAAGCCTTGAAGACTTATAAAAATTCTGAAAAGTTCCATTTTCCAGTTCAGGGGGGGGGGGGGTGGCGGTGGGGGGGGGGGTTGAGAGGAAGAGAGAGAGAAAGAAAGCGAGCCAGTGAAGATAAGACAGTGAATAACTCAATTTTTAAAAAAATCAAGTAATATTAAAAATACATAACTTGGTTAATATTAGAATCAAAACTTATAGCTTAATTCAAAATAGTCTTACAGCTTTTTCTTATCAAATGTTATGAATAATTACTACATTATACCATACTCGGAATGTTTTTGAACCTCCGTCTCTGAATACTTGATTTCTTACAGCCAATTGGTTGAGTACTGTGGACATAACTTTAATACAGACTACTGCTGAAGTAACAGAAATCTGTATTCTATGAAGGCAACTCATATAAAACGCTTCCCTGCATATGACCATACGGCATTGGGTTGCTGACTCTGATCCTCGTGAGCTGATAGACATGTGAGAGGCATCTTGCGCTCTCTAGACATTAATAGCTCCATTTACAACGAAATGTGGAGAACATAGACGCCCTAGGGTGGGCTGAAGGGGGAGAAATCCCCCAGAGCATTCAGAGGCGGCACAAGGAAGGCTCTGTGAGCAATAACCCAAAGGTTACAAACATCTATTCATGGTGAGGAAACTCAGCAAGAACCTTGACAATGACCTTAAGTGCACAGCCACAGACGGCTAAATGCTAACCATACAGAACCTACAAAACTCTTCTCCTTTTGTATTTGGACATCTACCCTGTGCCAGACTCTCGTCTTGGTACTGAAGACACAGCAATGAACAAGCCAAGGTCCCTGCCCTCAGAGGACTTAGGTTGAGGAACAAGTGGACAAGTTATTATAACAAAATAGAGCTAGCTGTACCAATGCTTTCTTTATGCAAATTCAAGTGGAGACATCCTCTATATTTGATCATGCCTTAATACAAGTAGATGAAACCCTTTTCTCCAGACTGGAACCAAATTCAGCCCAGCCCCTACTTACAGTCAGAGTGAAGTCATAACAGTCAGGGAGCTCGTGATGACGAATAGTCTGCAGATTAATGGCCTTCAGTTTGAACTTCAGCTCCACTGTTAAAAGTCTAGAAAGTAGAAGAGGCTTCAGTGCACTGACAATATTCACACACAAATGTACGTTACGCTCCTGTCTGCCTCCCTCACCTGTGAAAGTCCAGCGTTAAGTTGAGTTTATTTTCTTCCAGTGTTCCAATGTAAGAAGATTCATCTGGCTCCACAGAGAAACATTCTGCCATGGAAAGGAACAAAACATAACACAGCAGCCAAAATAAATAAAACTGCATCTTGAAAAGGTAATGTATATTCAAAACTAGATATTCAGGTTTGAGTATTTTTCTGAATTAAGGTTTTAAAGGCTAGACATCTATACCACTTGGTTACAATGACTCATTTGTTTTCAGGACATAAGTAGCTACATTTCTGCAGTGGATGGCGTAGAGAAAGATCTGAATTCTATCTCATTTGTCTTCTATAGAAAGCTATCTTCCTTCCTGTCCTTTAAACCTAAACTTTGAGTCCCCCCCATTTTTTTTGTATGCTAAACATGGGTTTGAAGCACTTGTAGAATCTTCAAAATATTCTAAGTATAAAGGATCTACATTTGAAATATTATGTGTTGACTATTTTTCTTCAACAAGCACTTTAAAAAAGAAAGAAAGATAGCTTCTTAGAATGTGTTCACTAATCAGTACTTTAATCCTTTAATATCCTTCTCTAACAACAACAACAAAAAATTCCCACTGGCTATTGTTGAAGAATTCAAATAGTTGTTGTCTTTTATTAAATATATTGGCCTGACATTGATTAATAAGATTAGTAATGGCGCCATTGTAATTTAACCTAGTTATGAATAACTAGAAAGGAGCAAAGGGAAGGTCAAATAATATAGGCATGGTATTTGTGCAGTTTTGCCAGGAAGCTTCAGTTCACTCTCCGGGAAACCACCAGTCCATTCCCTGCAGATCCATGGGGTAAGGAACTAGACAGGAGAAGAACAGACACATGGCCAGTAAAGTCCGGGTGACATAAGGAAGGTAGTTGCCTGTCAGTCACACCTGGGAACAGGTCATCGGCCAGAGTAGGCGTGGCCACTGCAAGCGCAGGAAGATCTGAGATAGTTAATCTCCTAAACAAAGGAATTTACACTCTTGGGCTCTTGTTCTCTTGTGATCTTGACTCCTGTCCTCTGGGGCTCTCACACTCCTGCATTTGCCCACACGGTCCACAGCCATGTGCACCCCACACAATGGACTAATGGACTGCAACTAGCCTAATGCTAAACCAGACCCTGATCCACCATGAAACGGAAACTCTGGACACTGGTTTTGCTTTTAGCTCTGCTGAATCCCAGCTGCACACCTTCTAGGACTGGAAAAAGGGAAATGGGACTTTGGAAATGCAGGGATGTAATTCCACAAAAATAAAGCTTTCTACTGTGGGGGCCTCCATAAATGCTTATTCCAGTAGTACCCCAAGAACCTCATTCCCACTAGCAACGGAGAAAGACCATCCACGCATTTCTTCGATAATACCCATTTTTTAACGGAACAAGCTAAGCTAATATTTCAAGTAAACTTACAAGTAACAGTTTGCTAATAAGAATAAGCTGTTTTCTTCTAAGTTCTAGTTCTCATTCTTACCCCAACCAATCTTCATAGATACTGAATAGTGAATTGCTAGTGAAGGGAGGTAGTTTTATATACATCAAGAATATGAGCCCAGCCGGTGTGGCTCAGTGGTTGAGCATCAACCCACGCGCCAAGAGGTGGCCAGTTTGATTCCCAGTCAGGGCACATGCCCAGGTTGTGGGCCAAATCCCCAGTGGGGGGCATACAGGAGGTATCCAATCAATGTTCTCTTTCATCGATGTTTCTATCTCTCTCTCCCTCTCCCTTCCTCTCTCTCAAAAATCAATAAAAATAATAATAATAACAATAAAAGCATCTCACGTTTGCTTTAGAAAAAGAAAAAAAGAAAGGAATTTGCAAGCATGATTTTTTGCAAGGATAATATCTGCCTATGTAACTAGCTTATCGAGCATGAGAGGCAGTGGAATATAGTGGCCAAGAGCCCAAGCAGCCTGGGTCAAATTTCAGCTCTGCCTCTTACTAGCTCCATTGGGAGCAGATCACTCTCTGAGCTATACTTTATAGTCTTCTATAAAATGCGAATGATAATGAACCTTACTTTGTTGGGGGTTTTGGTGGTTTTTTTTGTTTGTTTTTTACAAATTATACGTTACAGTAAAAGGCTTAGAACAGTACCTGACTGACACACAATCACTTCATTATGGTTTTTTATGATGACCTATTAGCACAGACCAAATCAATATTTTCGGAGATGAACTTACTGATTTTAAATATAAATCAAGGAATTAAAATGGGAAGTTCTAGCTTATGGAAGAACATTACCAGTTTCGATTTTGGGGTCAATGTCAAAGGTATCATTTCCAGGACAGATGTTTCCTTGCTTGTAGAAGTACTGGCAGATCGCCATCCCAGACTGTTCCGAACCCTTATTCTCATAAGCATGATTCCCAACTGAGACGTTGCGTAGCTGCAAGTACTTCAACCAAAAAGAGAAACAGGAAGTGGGAATGCCAGCCAGGGCAGGAGTGAAGCCACGACCCCCCTCCCTGCCTTTGAAACCGGCAGGTTCCCACCTCCACTCTGGGTGGCGACCTCCCCACTGATAGGCAGGGTGAGTGACATGCGACTGTTCTCCAACACAGCAGAGGGGCTCCGAGCACTTGAGAACTTGGGTGTTCTGAGTTCAAGGGTCAATTCTGTGACCTCAGGCAGATCACATACTTTCTCTGCTTCTGGTTCCTTATCTGCAAAAGTAAAGGCTCAAACCACATCATCTTCTCTCCTCCTCTAAAGAACTATGTTCAGGAACTGGTTTTTACATTCAGCATGAATACACATTTTATTTATCTTAGACCTACATCCAGTGAGGTCCGAGTTTTGCTTTACTATTGTAAGAATACAGCTTAGTCACTTTCATAGCAATTATCCCCCTGTCCCACTGAGCCCTTTACCTAAAACAGAATGTTACTTTTACAAATGAGGATCTTATGGTATCTTGGAATAACTGTCCACAAACCTCTTAATGGATTTCTATAGATGAAAAACATAAAACTAAGTGTTTCAGAGCTTATTCTGAACCATGTCGTTTGGCACAATTGGTGATACAAAGATAAGGATATAGTATCTGTCTCTTATAGTTAATAATTTAGTGGGATAGACACTTAGATAAATAATTCTACTAAAAGATGCAGGTGAAACATGCTATGAAGGAAAATCATTTATAACATGAGCCCATGGAACTGACTCTGAGCTGGACCTGGTCGAGGCAGCTTGTTAACAAATCCGGTGCTTAGTTCTTAGTTCTCGGTCCTCATCAACTTAACTTCTCCCAGGGGCTTGATGCAGCTGAGTGCTATCCCCTTCGTGGGATACTTCCCTCACTTGACTCCTGGGACCAGGCTGCTCCTTCTCCATCTCCTTAGCTGACTTCCTCTTGCCAACTCTACATCTTGGGGTGCCTTGGTTTCAGTCTCCAGCCTCTTTATTGACATTCTCTCCATGGGTGATCCCAGCCAGTCCCATGTTTTCTATACCACCTATATGCTGATGACATCCAGATTTATATCTCCAGCCCTGACCTCTCCACCAAATTCCATATATAGGTGGGTAGCAATCTACCTATGGTGGCTAAGAGGAATCTGAAACATAAATGGACAAACAGGAAAAACTGGCTCCTTCTACAGCACTTTTCTCCAATAAACAACCGCGTAAGCCAATCAACTTTTCAGGTCAAGACTTAGGAATGATCCTTCAGTCTTCTTCTCTCTTACTCCACTTCCAATCCATCGGAAAATCATGCATTAATTTCCAGTTATGTCCCACATCTGAGCACTCCGCTCCCATCTCCCTAGTCTACTCCACCGTCACGTCCCACCTGGTTAACCTGGTTTACCGGCTTCTAATCCCGACTTTCGCCACAGTCTAGTCTTTGTGAAGAGCTCATAAGACTGTTACAAATATTTCCTTACTATAGTTACAAAGAGGAAGTGAATTAATGCACATCAAACCCTTAGAACAGTGACACACAAAACGTGAACCTGTTTCAGACTCTGTTCCTGCTGTTTCTTCTCCCTGGAAGCGTCTTCCTTGAGATGCCACAGCTGCCTCCCCACTGCTTTGTCTGCTCTCGGCTCACCTGTATCACCTTATCAGAGAAGCCTTTCCTGACCCCGTTTACTCTGCCTGTTTCTTCCTCTTCCTCTTCCTCTCCCTCTCCCTCTCCCTCTCCCTCTCCCTCTCCCTCTCCTCTCCCTCTCCCTCTCCCTCTCCCTCTCCCTCTCCCTCTCCCTCTCCCTCTCCCTCTCCCTCTCCCTCTCCCTCTCCCCCTCCCCCTCCCCCTCCTCCTCCTCCTCCTCCTCCTCCTTCTTTTACAGTACACTTATGACCAACTGATAGATGATATCTTTACTTACTTACTGCCAATCTCTTCCCATTAGAATTTGACTCCTTTGATTTTGTCTTTTTTATTACTACTGTATTTATGTACCAAAAACAATATCTGATACATAAAAGATGCTACAATTTTGAGTGAATAAATGTCAGCCTTTGCTAATGTATATAAGAGTCTCTTCCTTATTGAAAGCCCGTCCATGGCGTCCTGTCTCACTCAGAGTAAATGTCATAGCTTCTTCCTGGCCCAGTCACACTGGCCTCCTTTGTATTTTTCTTAAATATACTCAATGTTTTCTGGCCTGGGGGGCCTTTACTGCTGCTACTCCTTCGTCCTGAAACATTCTTCTCCAGACGTTAAGTCCTCAGGGAGACCTTTTCTGACCACCCTGGACTATAAATACCTCATGCTAGTTTATTTTACTTCATAGCACTCATCACTATATACAATCAAATAATTTTGGTTAAACTTGTTTTAAAACCATCAGGGCAAGGACTTTATCAAGTCCACCATTCTAACCCCAGTACTTAGAACAGTATTAGGCACAGAGTAGGTGTCAAATTAATGGCAAGGTAAAAATATGATCATTATGCCATAATGATTCTTCATTTACTACAGTGAATCTATGCACAGTTAACCACTGGGGTAATATGTGTGATGATGGCACCAAGCTTTCTGTTAGCACTGGGATTGGGAAATGAGCCAGAAACCTATGGTGAGAGAAGAAAGTGGCATAAAGTGTTGGATAGCATTACGTTCCACATGCAGGGGGAAATAATATGCTGGACATATTCCAGTCTGAGATTTTTGTTTGTTTTCTACTCAAGGAAATGGTGTATTAAATCTTTCTAAAACTACTCTGAGTGAAATTGGTAGTTTTATAAGGGGGAGAGCCCTTTAAATGAAAAAGAAGGTAAAAGATATTGAGTGTGGCCACCTACTTCAGGCACGTCATGAGAAGGCAGCTTTCTTTGGAAAAGATAATAATACTGGGGAAATAGAGAAAGACCAAACATGAGATGGATCTACTCCATAAAAGAAACCATAGGCAGGCGTCTACAGGAGCTGAGTAGGCTGTTGAGGACAGGACTTTGTGGACATCACTCATTCACAGGGTCTCTGGGAACTGCAGCTGATTCAATGACATGTAACACAGCCAAGCAGACAGTGTGCCTGGAATGTGGGCTGTGTAATGGGCGGTAAAGCTGGAAAGACAAGGAGGGGTCATGAAGTAGAGTCATACCTAAACGAGGTCCTGTCGCCTTTCTGGGTGCCCTCTACTTGTGAGGCAATCCCTACAGGAATTACCGAAACATATGAAACTCCTACCACAGAAACAGTGTATCTTAAAGCTTGTAAGGTCTTGAAACACAGAAGATCTGAGGCACAAGGCTGCAGGTAGCTGCTAACTTTATGAGCAACGCTACAACCAGACTTCCTTGCTCTGTTAATAAGACTCTTGCAAGAGCTGGATGGTTAGGGGCAAGTGACGGGACTATGTCCAGCTAAAGGGCAGCTCTGGAGCCCTAGTCAGAGGACTCTGGGACAAGAATGTGATGTGGGACTATGGCTAAAAGGTAGTGAGCAGTGGGACTGACTAATGGGGCTCCTAAGTGGCTGGGGCCTCTGTGGGGCTTCATTCGGGCTGGACACCTGCCCCACTTGCCTCTGCAGCCCTGTCTTGAGAAGAGTTTCTCATGTAGATCCATGGGTTCCAAGTCATCCTTTAGGAGACAATATAAAAATACATAAAAGATCCTCATCTGGGTGATGTGGCACCCAAAGTAAAGCAGATTCAAACCATTGCTTCTTCGTGGTCCTTCTGTGGTCACATATATAATGAGCCTTTGAGCTCATTTATTCATTTACAAAAATCTGAGTGCCTGTTGGGTACTTCTGCCTTCAAAGAATAAGTACATCAAATGTTGTGGCACCAAACACTATATCTATATCTATATCTATCTATCTATCTATCTATCTATCTATCTATCTATCTATCTATCTATATCTATCTATCTATCTATCTATCTATCTATCTATCTATCGCTTGTAAGGTCTCCATATACATATATGGAGAAAGAGAGAGAGAGAGAGAGAGAGAGAGAGAGAGAGAGAGAGAGAGAGAGAGAATGAATGAGAATGAAGAGTATTTGCACAATTAAATCTGTGATTTTAGGTGAATCCATTAGAAAACAGCCAGGAAGTAGTAGGGCAGTGGGTAGGGACGAAGGGAAGCCAATCAGAAGTAGGAATGTATAGACTATGCTTAAGCTGCAAGAGTAAGTGATTCCAAGACGCTGGGGCCTGTACATCTAAGCAACTTGCCAGAAAGAGAAACAGGTGTGGGTTCAGGTGGGAAGAGACTATGAACCTGCTTTGGACAAGGTGGTTCTCAGGTGTCTGTGAGCTGTCTGGCACGTGGCAGTGTGAGGGACTGCTTAGGAGTCACCTCATCTTGGTGATGCCTGAACACTGTAGAGTGGGGGAAATGCTACAGGAAAAGGGCAAGCCTCTAAGGACTGCCCAAATTTAAGAGCAAGTGAAAGAAAGGAACCCAGTAGAGATAACCCACAGATTATAGAGGAAAGCCAAGATATAATTGAAAACAAAATAACTGGTGTTTTGACATTCAAAGAGATGAGCATATATAATAAACAAAGAGTGATGTTATAACTGGCACTGGATCAGAATGAACCCTAGAGATGGTCTAGTTAGAGGACATCTGGGGGCTAAACCCTTCGGGATAACTAATCAGTCACGGAAATACCTCTAAGAGCTGAGAAGCCACTGTCCCATCTGTCGGTTCCCCTCAGGGACTATCACCTATCAGGATATCTCCTTGCGGCAAACAAAGATCCCTCTTTCACATCAGTCCATATTGTCCCATTTCAGTTCTCTGGAACCTTGGAGAATGACCTCTTTAGCCACAAAAACTCTAGTTATTCGTAAAAACTGTGATCAAGATACTTTTACCTTCAGCTAAAAATGCCTGGTAATTGTTTGGAAGATGATGGGAAATCATTTGCCCAAGGTAAACCACCCAATTAATGTTATCTACTTATATACAAGAGTAAGGAATCTACATGCATTTCTATAAAGAATATGAAAATCTGATCAACAGAATGGCCTGAATGCCAAATAGTACTATATTTTTATAACTCATTTTAAGTCTACTAATAAAGGTAAACATGTTTTAGGAGGAATTTAATAAACTTTTTACTTCTTGCCTCCCCCCCCAAAAAAAACCCAAGCAAACTATCTCCCCCTGCAAGAAAAACCCAAACAAACTACTAGTTTGGTTCAGAGTAGCTTTAGAGCAACTTAATAAGTTTACAACAAAAATCTCAAAACAGAATATCTCCAGCATTATACTGTTTTCTCCCCTTACAAATTATAAGACATAATTCTGTTTAACATCTTATGTAGCTTACTTCTATTACTGTAGATTTTGGGCCAATTTTTGCCATCAGAATGCTAACAAAAAGCCATAATTAATACCCTGTCTTAGCAATTTGCCATCTCACTGTGCAGAGACTGTCTCTAAATAATGAAGAGCCATGATTGCATTGTAACAATTATTTGAAGAAGAGTTGTAATAATTTTGAAACTAACCCAGGTTGGAAATACTACTTCAAGAACACTTCCAATGATACCTACAAAATAAGAGGTTTAGGATCATGAGAAAGTACTGTTCATAGCAAAAACAAAATTGATTAGAAACTCAGGATAGGAATTTGGCTCATCTGAATGAAAAACAAGCTTACTTTTTTGGCAGTTAATCAATGTTACAATAAGATCATTGTCACGCATGATTTAAAGGTCTTATTTTTTAAGTGAACTTTCGGGCCTTGGTTGCTATATATACTCAGCAAAGTGAATATTCTCATTAAGTGTTAAGGGCCCCTGAAACTATAAACCCTGAGGGCTTAATGACTACTTACAGCCAGGGTCATGGTTAATAATTTTAAACCTTTGAAGCTCTCTTGGCAAGTTCTAGTTCTGATTCTTTTAATTAACTCTTTAAAGTTTCTGTCTCTGTGTTACCAACCGAAAACTCTTCTCAATTACCAGTTTTGCAAAAATCTGTTGCCAATAATTTAAAATTTTTTAATGACTTTATACATGTTGCTCATACAGAACATGTATAAAAATGTTCACCCTTCTTGATTTGAACATCAGTTCCTATTATGTACATTGCTAACTATTTCCCAGTCTGTTCTTTCTGCCAAGTAAAGAATGCATGTGCATACCTGAGAAAGGGAAATCAAGTAAATTCCATTAAATTTCTGTGCATTTAAAAAAAAAAATTGCAGTGCTAATTTACCTGGTTCACTGCGAAGATGATCTGACTGTATACATCACTCTGTGTGTACACGGCATACGTGTCATCCGCTTGGTTCACGTATTCTTTTAGAAAGAGGTGTTTGAATGCATTAGTGTTATCTTCCTTGAAAGCTACCACCATCTGGTTACTTAGCCCAAAAAAGACCAGCTGAAGGGAAAAAAAGAAAAAAGAAAAAAATAAGAGGGTAGAAAAGCAACAAAATAAAGGTCTCCATATAATGATCATTTTATCTATTCAAGATTCAGTATGTAATCAATCATGAATATGCTCAATAGAAATTAATCGTTGGTAGCTCTGAATCAATTTGCCCTTAAAGATAAGAAAGCTGCTTTTGCATCCTTTCAACATTTATTTTCATATCTGATCTCATTTATGGCATTGCCTTCACCATCAAAAGCTTTAGAAGTTCAGAGAAGTTCTTTAGGAGTTCTTCAGGGGTTCAGAGGAGCAGGGTCACTTTGGCTACAAAAATAGGAAGGCTTACTTAAAGAAAGAATTATAGAAACCCTGAAGTATGTGCAGAACTTGGGCAGAGAATGTTTGAGTAGTTAAGAAGGTAGCACAGAATTTAGCACTTTGGGAGGACATAAATCAATTAGAGGAACAGTAGAAGAAATGGAGACAGGTACTGCAGAGGCCTGAACAGCAAGTAGAAGAGTTTAGAACCGAATTCCGTAGGACCTCAAGATGATCTTGAAGAAATACCTTAAATGAGTCTAAGTCCCACAATCAAGCTATATTCCTAGGTCACATGACCAAAACTGTGACAATAAGCCCCAAAGTAAAAATATCCTTTCAACTCACCTCTAAATTAAAGTACATTAATATAACATATCCTTAATCTTCATGCAGGATTGATCGCAGACTTTCACAGGAAACCAGTTGTGCACACACAAGAAGTTGTTTAACTGCACTGCTGTCCAAGTAACATAAACTCTGTCGATCATATCCAAAACCATACTTTACTCCAGTCTCTCTTTCACCTTTACATCCCTCCCAAACCGCCTCAATCTATCTCTGTTTTATACACCCCCACCCCCACACATTACATACTCGTAGTGTAGAACATACACTCTGACTTCCATCCCAGAGTGAGGCAGGGTGTATTTTATATGGAAAAGGGGACGGACACCGAGCACCTATGTGCCATATTCTATTCCAGCAACTTTCCTCATTCGAATCCCACAGTGTAGTTCCTAATGTACCTATTTTATAAGATGAGTACATGAAGGCTCAGAGGAGTCAAATAATTTTTCCAAGTCACATTTTCAAAAAGTGTACAGTTAAAACTGGAGCCCATCTGACAGACTAAATCCAAGCTACACAAAGTAACCCAGGGTCTGATCAGGAAAAATACAGAGCAGACAAATCTTTTTCCCTTTCTTCTCCCCTTGCAAAGGTACACCCTAACCTTGCACATGTTATCCTCTCCACTTAACCCAACTCCTACTACTGAACCGCCTCTCAGCTAAAGGTCCCATTTAAATCCCAATCAGACGACAGTTGGATATTCCAGGGATTTCACATCTGTTGAAGCTGATGACCAAAAAGCCTCCAGAGAATTCGCAAACACATTCTTATCAATTCATTCAAATACATGAGGACAAATTGAGATGGCAACAGTCCTCGTCCTGAAGTCCTTACGAGCCTCGAGGCAGACCGGAGGACCAGCGGCTGAGGCAGTTGCTGTAATTCAGAGGCGGAGCCAGGAAGTGGGGGAAAGAAAACCTTCAGTAAGGTGCCTATTATTGTACAAATTTTTCTTTTGCTACTGAAACACAAAGTCTCCAACTTGACAGAAAGACCACCTTCTTTTCTCTGAAAAGAGGGAATCTGTCACCAAGACACCCTTATTCAATCAATTACAAAGTTGTCTTTATGTAATATTTGCTTGATTGCTTAGATATAAATTAAGGAAATATCACAATTGAGACACCATCAGTTCCTTTAAAAAAAAAAAACCTACCTAACTTACCTAAACACCTTTCACATGTTTATTGCTAACAGGCTTAACATTTTAAACCATGGGCCAGTTTTCCTCTTGACCACTCTAGGAAACACTAGAAGGTTAGATGAACTCCCTAAAAGATTAAGGAGTAATTTAGATCATAAGTCTTAGAAGGAATAAATCTGAGTCTGAATTTCAGTTCTACTCGTCTAGTTTCCCAACTATGACAGGCTATTTTACTTCACTAAGTCTCAGTGTTCTAATCTGTGAAATGGGAATACCACTCTCTTCGATTTGTGTTAAGAATTGAACATGGCCCTGGCCGGTTTGGCTCAGCGGTTAGAGCGTCGGCCTGCGGTCCAGAGAGACCCGGGTTCGGTTCCCGCTAAGGGCACGTACCTCGGTTGCAGTTTGTCCCCGGCCCTGGTTGGGTCGTGTGGGTGGCGGCCACTCGATGTGTCCCTTTCACGTCGATGTTTCTCTCTCTCTCTCTCTCCCTCCCACTCTATCTGAACAAAATATCGAAAAATGTCCTCGGGTGAGGATAAAAAAAAAAAAAAAAAAAAGAATTGAACATGATGATGCCCATACAATGTTTAGCACTCATTCAAGTAGAAAATATTTATACTCAACCATTTGCTTTTAACAAGACCTAACTACTCTCACCAACAGAAACACATATCTGCCCAAGAGTAAATCACAACCAGTATAAATAAAGAATCACAAACACAGGCTTTTCCAACTTGTCAAATATTATACTGAGAATTGAACATCCACTTTTATGGTGATATATTAGAGAGAGTGCCCTTGCCTATTGAGTCTTGACTCAGCCACTGACTAGTCGTGTGGCTTTTTAAAAATTCTATTAATGTCAGTTTCCTTCTCTGTAAAATAAGGGATGCTAGAATAGGAGTGTTGCTGGGATTAAATGAAATAATGTCCTTGAACAGAGTAGTCACTCAAATGTTCAGTTCCCTTGACACAACAACTAGCATTAGAAACTTGTGCAAGAATACTATCAACTTCTTGTGATTATAGAAATCACCTTAGCTTCTAACAATCTTAAGCATTTATTCTCAATAACCAGTTAAGATTAGTGATTTCAGGGTTAAAAATTTTTTTTCCTTGAATACTAGTTGTTTATTTATTTATGTTTTTGTTTCTTTCACAAAGAAAAGAAAGTACCAATAAAAAACCTATCACATCTATTTTTCCTATTTAAATTTGCTTTTATTTTTGCCTATTTGCTTTTAATGATAGATCATTGTTCTCACCAACAGAAAAACATGTCTGCAGAAGAGTACATCACAACCAGTATAAAGAACCACAAAATTTGGTTTCTCTAAAAAACGGGAAAAAAAAGCCAAGGAAATGAGATTCATAAATCTCCTAAAAGGAAGTCTCTTATTTCCTTCACTACCTGCGCCACTCGTTTTCAGTTAACTCACATTCCTCCACAGGAGGACTCCTGTGATCACAGGGCTGTGAGAATCCGAGCACTTGCCTTAACAGAAATCCTTGAAGTTTCTGAAGAGAAATTCCCAGGAAACTGGGAAAGAAAAGGCTCTTCCAGCCCTGGCCAGTTTGGCTCAGCGGTTAGAGCGCCGGCCTGTGGTTCAGAGAAAACCCAGTTGCGGTCCAGAGAGGCCCGGGTTCAGTTCCCACTAAGGGCACGTATCTCAGTTGCAGTTTGTCCCTGGCCCTGGTTGGGTCGTGCAGGTGGCAGCCACTCGATGTGTCCCTTTCAAGTTGATGTTTCTCTCTCTCTCTCCCTCCCACTCTATCTGAACAAAAAATGAAAAAAATGTCCTCAGGATAAAAAAAAAGAAAGAAAGAAAAGGCTCTTCTGATTGGACAACAGCTAGTTTTCAAGGTGGATTCAGAAACCTTCAACTAAACCTCTTTTTTTTTTTTTTTATCCTCACTCGAGGACATTTTTCGATATTTTGTTCAGATAGAGTGAGAGGGGGAGAGAGAGAGAGAGAGAAAGAGAGAGAGAGAGAGAGAGAAACATCGACGTGAAAGCGACACATCGAGTGGTTGCCACCCGCACGACCCAACCAGGGCTGGGGACAAACTGCAACCAAGGTACATGCCCTTAGCGGAAACCGAACCCGGGTCTCTCCGGACCGCAGGCCGACGCTCTAACTGCTGAGCCAAACCCGCCAGGGCTAAACCTCTTGATTGAAAGCCAAATAATAATAATTTTTTTCCCCTAAAAACTAATTAGATTATGTGACTGAAATGATAACTTAAGGAAAGATGAGAAGGAAAAAAAAAAAATTCCCCAAGTCTTCTTTCACAAATATTGAAGAGAGAATGTTTTAAGATTTCATGTTTCCTTATTTATTCTTCTCCATTACACATACAGTTCAAAGTTATGAAAACCACTGTCCATAGTCCTCTTTGGTATGAAAAGAGTCACCAAACTCCTGACCTGAGATGCTCACCTGCATAGTCACCATTACAAGTTTTATAATTTGTATGACAAGTTTCCATGGTTTTCTGCCTCGAGCCCAGAATTTCTCACAAGGATTCATGAAAAAGAATTTGAGTTTTCGCCTCATCTGGTCTTCTAATAGAAGCTCCTCAGAGGGAGATGTATTCTGGTTAAATGTGGCCCCATTTTCCTCAGACTGAAAGCTGCAGCTATTTATAACCACCTCGGGAGTTGCCATCTCTAGAGGAAAAAAACAAAACAAAACTGTTTCCATTCTGTAAACAAAGACACAAATATATATTTTTTGCTATTGCAGGATAGTTGATGGAGTTTAAACAAAAGATCTGGTTTCAAATAAGCAGCATTGTTCTCAACTGCACTTTAGATGTTAAAGTGTTACAATTAAAATGTTACATGTCATTTTTCTTTTATTAAGTTTCAGTTATTAAATGGATTTTTACTCAGTTAAAATTTATCAAATCCAGCCCTGGCTGGTTTGGCTCAGCGGTTAGAGTGTTGGTCTGCAGACCAGAGAGTCCTGAGTCCTGGATTCCATTCTGGCCAAGGGCACATACTTCGGTTGCGGTTTGTCCTGGGCCTTGGTTGGGGTCATACAGGTGGCAACCAATTGATGTGTGATGTCTCTCTCTCTCTCTCTCTCTCTCTCTCTCTCTCTCTCTCTCTCTTCCTCTCCCCCTCCCACTCTGTCTGAAGATAAATGTATAAATATCCTCGGGTGAAGATTAAAAAAAATTTTTTTTACCAAATTTAAGGGCTGCTTCTATTAGAAAAAAAGTTATATGTACTTATACATATATGGTATGTATAGGATTTCTGTCTCCTTCAGTAATAGATATAGTTAGCACATAGATTGTGACCTAAAAACCCAGGTCAGGGCTTCAGAGGGTAGGTGGACCTTAAAATTATATGCAATTCTTTTGTATATGTAGATATGGCCTCTTTTCTTGGGGAGAGACTTAAAAATTTATCAGCTTATCAAAATAGTTTTATTTATTTATTTATTTTCATTTTCGCCTTTGTTTATTGTGGTAACAAATACATGAGGTTATCCTATTAACACATTTTTTTTTTTACTAATTTATTTTTGTTACAGATGTTTCTCAAAATAGTTTTAAACCACTGAGTTCTGTTTAGTTTTCGATTCTGGTTCTACAACTTGATACATCTGTGACATGAGGCAAGCCACTCAGCATCTCTGGGCCTCAGTTTTCTCTTCTGCAAAATAAAAGTAGCTGCCCTTGCATGATTGTATCCAGTGTTAAATAAAAATGCAAATAAAACCCTTGCATAAGGGCTAACACTAAAGCAAGCAGCCTCACTTTGCTACAGCCTCAACAGTTTCCTAAGCAGCCAGCAAGTTTCTTAAGTGACAGTGTGAGTCTCAGAAGGCTTTATTGTTCTGCATTGGGGAGCACAGAAGCCCAATTTAAGTCCAAATCCCGATCAGCCATGTCACTTGTATTTGCTTTTTATTGGAGACTTTATATTTCTGTAGCGCATTTTACTTTCAGCATACTTCATACCTATTATTTTGTTTGTCCCTTTGAAAAGGATAGGGTTTTTCCTCAGACTAATATTGATATTAGGGGAAACCTGTTTAAAATAAAAGACCCCAAACCACCAGGGAGAATAGAGTCCTTCCATATAAAAGGCTGGCTCTGTGATATTTTCCAATAACTTGTATTCAAAAATCAAAGGGGGGGGGGGTTCAAACTCTTAGAAGACATAAAGGAGATGCCCAGCCAGTGTGGCTCAGTGGTTTAGCATGGACCCATGGACCAAGACAAGAGGTCACCGGTTCAGTTTCAGCCAGGGCACATGCCAGGGTTGTGGCTCCATCCCCAGTGGTGTTTGGGTGTGTGTGGGTGGGTGGGTGGGTGGGTGCAGGAGGCAGCCTATCTATGTTCTCTCTCATCGATGTTTCTATCTCTCTCCCCCTCTCCCTTCCTCACTAAAAAAAAAACAATAAAACATATATATTTTTTAAAAGACATAAAGAAGAGAAAAAAATTACCAATACCTTAGGATTTTCACTCAAATACATGTTCTTTTTCTTCAAAAAGGTATGACATTTTTAATCAGCATTTTAAAAGATTTTAATTATAGGACTTAAAACCAAGATGATTTTATGTTGCTCAAAACTTACATATGAACAACATAATGAAGCTCTCAATAACCAAACATGTTGGTGAATTACAGATTTGAGGTCACATTAAGCCCTTTCTATTTTAATACAGGGAAAATTAAACTTTAAACAAACTAGCCATACGTCATGTAACAGTAACCCACAGGAACAAAGAGAAAATGAGCCAACCCCAATTAATTTATTCAGCACATTGCACCTCGTTGTCCCGGAAACCAGATATTACATGTACAAGGACAGGCCGCTAAACTTGCTTTCCCAAAAGCATCACAAATGCCCTCCGAACAGGGTGCGCTGGGAACAAGGCCACCTGTCCAGACCCCTAGCGGCTGAGGGAGGGAGGACCACAACCCTTCACACCCGGCCCCAAAGTGCCCAGATGGATGCAGGGGGGGGGGGGGGGGGGCGGGAGGAGCTGCGAATCAGGAGAGAGGTTAATGGAGGAGTTGGGCCTGCTCTTGGAATCTATAAACACACAAAGGTTATTTATTCAGGGTGATGAAAGGCTTAATTGGATTGAGCTGCAGAAAATTAGAGAAAACCAGGGAATATGTGCAAATACCAAATGCTTCCAGTTGGTGACCAAGTAACGCAACCTCATTTCTTCAGAAGCGCGTTCTCACATCATCAGACACAAAACTTCGCTCTTTCGCGTTCTTTCCTTCATCTTTTTTTTCTTTTTTTTTTTTAACCAGCGCTCAGGCTGACTTGATCAGGCGGGTACCAGCCTGATCAAGACCAGCATGAAGACCACAGCGATCATCCGATCATCCGGGAGTCAGGCCTGCAGTAGCCGAGATTTCCTCCGGGGCCACAGCACCCTGCGCCCCTAACCCCGGAGCCCCGCAGGAGACTGCTTTCGCCCAGCGCAGGGATCCCGGCTTTGCCCGCCCCTCATTTGCACCCGTCCCCACACCTCTAATAAAGGGACATCCGAGAGAAGAGAAGCTGGCGGTGCAACTTACAGCCAACTCTGAGCCCCGGCCGCACGCAGACCGCCACCCCTCCCAGGGCGTCCAGAGGGGACAACCTCAGGTGGCTTCCGGCTCCCGGAATCTCCGACTCGGGCATCTCGATGGGCAGGGGCCAGGCCCGGGGCCGCGGGGCAGAGGCTCCCGGCCACATCAGCTTGGGTCCGGAGTACCTTGGGTTGGGGGACTCGCCGGGTCCCCGCCCGAACCCCGGACCCCGCGCGCCCCCACTGACCTCGGCGGGGCGGCCAGGCGGGCGCTGCGCCGAACAGCTGCAGCTGGTACCCCACGGCCATGTGTGTCTCTTCCATAGAGCCGACGTCCGGGGACCCGGCCCTCCCGCTTTATGTCACCGATGACTCGCGACATCACGGTTCCTCCGTGCGCCGCGGGCGCCGTTCCCATGACACCTGATGCCTCTGGGTGGTGCGAGACTTAACTCACCTGCGGCCCGTAGCACAGGAGGGGGTGCTGGGCGGGGACAGCGGGTGGCCCGGGGGAGCGCCGTCAGCCGGCTGGCGGGGAGGCGTTAGGTCTTCTCAGCTGCCGGGGGTCGCGGTAGGTCGGGGCACCACTCTGGAAACCTCTGAGGCTCGGCTCAGCATGGAAGAGGGGGGGTCGGGCCGCCAGGAGCCGCTGCCCGTGGCATCCTGCCTCCTCCCGCCGCTGTGACTCGTGCCCTTCCGCCCACTGCTCCGGTTCCCTTCCACGCCCTTTCGGGGCCTTCTTTCAGGGGGACAGGCGGGGCGCGGAGGCTGTCGGAATGAGCCCGGCTTCCTCCCGGCACCCCGCCCCTACCTCTTCACGCCTCTCCGGGTCCCGGTAAACAACTCGCACAACCCTACTCGGGCTCTCTCTGATCGAGCAGGAGTTGCCGCGAGGTGCAGTGACAGTACTTGGGCTCTGGGCTTCAGACCCGTAAAGGGGCCGCCCCTCTGGTCCCGTTCTGCTCACGGAGTTGGGGAAGTGGGAGGGGACGCGGCGCGAAGGTGCGCAGAGAGCCTGGCTGCTCACAGTGCGCAGCCCTCTCTTAACAGCCCATTCCGATGTCTGTGTACTGGGGACAGCATGAAGGGTAAGACTTTTCGAGCCTGAGAGGTGTACCCTCTCTAGGCCTTCCAGTTTTGCAAAATCGCTATGAAATTAATACACTGTTGATTAGACTCCTCTAGACTCGGTGCTGGGACAAAAAGAGCCCCGAAAGCTCTTAGAAGAAATGGGACTTGAAACATTTGAGGTAGTGACAAAGACTCTGTGCTTGTCCAAACTTTAGTCAGGCTCCTAAACTTTCTCCTAGGTTCAGCTGTTTACTTCCTTGTTAATTCCAGTTATAGCAAGAACCCTGCCAAGTCGGTTTACTACCCCCTCCCGCCCGCCCCCCAACACACACATACACTCCCAACATCTGATTGTCCTGGATGTCTGATGGGCTTTCTCATCTTCCGTCATCCTTCAGGTTATGTCTCAGCACCCTGGCCTGTTTTCAGTTAGGTAGGTTCAGCCAGAACTTTCCTTCACCCCTGTTGTTTTCTCTTTGTAATTTTTCAGTCCGAATTTGAAACCGTCTTTCTCCTCCATTGTAAAACCCATTGCAGTGGTCCCTATAACTATCTGCATGGCCCTGAATAAAATCTGCCTTCTATTTTTAATAAGTGCTATAGAATATTTTGTTCTTTAAGAGTAGACCTCCAGCTGCACAGTGTGGCTCAGTTAGTTGAGCATCGTCCCATCACCAAAAGGTCGCTGGTTTCAGGTCAGGACACATGCCTGGGTTGCAGGCTCCATCCCCAGTAGGGGCGTGCAGGAGGCAGCCAAAGGATGTTTCTCTCTCTCTCCATGTTTCTCTATCTTTCTGTCTCTGTCTCTCGCTCTCTCCCCATCTCTCTTCCAATCTCTGAAATTAATAAAAACGTATTTTCAAAAAAGAATAGACCTCCAACCATAACCTCTTTCTTTATGAATTTTTAAAAAATTAAACCTTAGTTTACTCCTTATCAGGAATAGATCAGGAACCTTAATTAATTTGGATTGCAACCACTTTAGATATGTTTTAATTGATTTGGGGGTGGGGTACTGGTAAATTTGTAAACAACATTGAATTTTCATAACAGGTAATTCCCCAGATTATAGATAATTTATGAATGGAAATATCTTTTTTTTTTTTTTTGCAATAGGGTACAAGAATTGCATGCTGTTCATTAACCTGAATCCCAAGTGCTGTGAACAACTGGCATACTCAATTCTCAAATGCACTTTGGAAAATACAATTTAATCTCTAATGCCCACATGCCTCCACATGCTTTAACACCATTTCCTTATAGTAACAGTGAAGTCATCTTGACAATGGGACTTTGAAGTACTTGATTTTTCTAGAATGATCCAAACTTTGGAGAAGTTTGCAGGTATAAATGATAGTCCTAACTTAACCCTAGAATTGACTTAAGTAGACACATGAATGAAAAAAAAAAAAAAAACCCGGCTTTGTAGCCAGATGGACAGGGGCCCTAATTCCCTTCTGTGCCACTTATTGAGTGACCTTGGAGAATTACTTAACCTCTTCACTTCATCACTCCCTTCTATGTATAACCATCTAATAACAGGATGCATGCAAAGCATTCATTACTGTGCCTGACATATTTTATGTGCTTGTAAATGTTTTGTTTTGTTTTTGAGAGGAGATCTAAATTAATGAAAGAATCAACTTCACTCCGTCTTCAGGAAAGGAGAAAATGATGGAAGAGAAATCTGCCACTTTAAAACATATTCCTAGAAGGAGATGATGACAAGGTTGTGCATGAGTCTGCAGTAAAGTTACTATTCTTCTGGGAAGTCACAGAGTCAGAAGAAATCATGTGATAAAATCCCTGATTGGCTCATTCTGAACAAGCGCAGTTTGTAGCTGTTATTCCAGGAAACCCACACAATGCAGAACTGCTTTTCCTTTTACACTTCCCACTGGTGTAGTAAATAGTAACTTTTTGCCAACCATTCATAAGATGTTCATGAATAGCAAGACAATATTATCAAGATGTTAATTCTCAGCAAGTTTATTTATAAAGTCAACCTAATATTGATAAAAATTCCAGAAAGCTGTTTTCTAGAAATTCACAAGTTGATCCTAAATTTCTTATGGAAATGCAAAGAACTTAGAATAGTCAAACAATTTTTTGAATAAGGACAAAATTGGAGGACTTGCCCTATCCAATTTCAAGACATTATAAAGCCGTCTGAGCAAGACAGTTTGGTATAGAGTATATGTAGAAAATGGAACGGACTAGAATGTTCAGAAATAGATTCACACATATATATCAGTCAAGTGATTTTTGAAAAAGGTACAAAAAACAATGTAAAAGGGAAAATTAAACCGTAACAATCAACAATTGTCTTACATGAATGTATTGACACCAAGTCAAAAGGAAGACAGGAAACTCTGCCATGAGGTCAAAGACTAAGGTCAGCAATGTGAAGAATGACAGAAGTACATTAGAGAAGCAGTTAAAATCTTAGTCAGTATTGCTTGTAATTGTTGTCATGCTATAAGTGTATGTTCCTGGCCCTGATGGAGATTAGTTCATACAAATGTAATAAATATTAATAAGTTTGTATACATACTATACATTGTGTTAATCCTAAGCATGGTATTCCAAGAAATAACAAGTTTTGTAAACAAAATAACTCCCTGCATTGGTGATTTTAACATATTTCTATGTAATACTGTTGATCTTGCTAGAACACCCAAATGTGACATTATCTGAATACTACCCAATCATGTTTGCTGCATTTTCCAGGGTATGAGTATTTACTAAATGATATAGTTTTTTTTTTTTTTTTTTGTAAAACAGGCAAAACATTTTTATTGTTAAAAAAGTAAATGAGCCCTGGCTAAGTGGCTAAGTTGGGTGAAGCATCATCCCAAGCACCAAAAGGCTGTGGGTTCGATTCCCAGTCAGGGCATATACCTAGTTTGGGGGTTCAATCCCCAGTTGGAGTGTGTTATGGGAGGCAACCAATCTATGTTTCTTTTTCACATTGATGTTTCTGTTTTTCTCCTTCCCTCCCTCTGCCCCTCCCTCCCTCCTTTTCTCTCTCTAAACGTATCCTCGGGTGAGGATTAAAAATAAAAAGTAAATGAGAATTCCAGTGAAGATGGTGGAGCAGGCAAACTCCGTGCTTGTGTCCTCCCACAAGTACATCAGAGTTACAACTAAATTATTGAATAACCATTATTGAGAAACACCTGAAAACTAGCTGAACAGAATTTCTTTAAGGATATTAAGAAGTCACATGGAGACTGGTCGAGGGGCAGAGCTATATAATGGGCAGGTCCCACATCCATAGTGTGGTGATTAAGAATTGGGAGCGGCTTTTGCTGTGGGAGCCCCCAGGTCGAAAGGAGTGTGGCCTTCTCTTCTCCACGCCATGGCGTGTGCTCGTCCACTGATATCCGTGTACTCTGAAAAAGGGGGGATCTTCTGGCAAAAATGTCACTTTGCCTGCTGTGTTCAAGGCTCCCATTCGACCAGACATTGTGAACTTTGTTCACACCAACTTGTGCAAAAACAATAGATAGCCCTATGCTGTCACTGAATTGGCAGGTCATCAAACCAGTGCTGAGTCTTGGGGTACTGGCAGAGCTGTGGCTCGGGCTCCCAGAGTTCGAGGTGGTGAAACTCACCGTTCTGGCCAGGGTGCTTTTGGAAATATGTATCGTGGGGGCCGCACGTTTGCACCAACCAAAATCTGGCACCGTTGGCACCGTAGAGTGAACACAACACAGAAACGATATGCCATCTGCTCTGCCCCGGCTGCCTCGGCCTTACCAGCACTGGTCATGTCTAAAGGTCATCGAATTGAGGAAGTTCCTGAACTTCCTTTGGTGGTTGAAGATAAAGTTGAAGGTTACAAGAAAACCAAGGAGGCTGTTTTGCTTCTTAAGAAACTTAAGGCCTGGAATGGTATCAAAAAGGCCTATGCTTCTCAGCAAACGAGAGCTGGCAAGGGCACAATGAGAAACCGACGTCGTATCCAGTGCAGGGGACCCTGCATTACCAATAATGAGGACAATGGTATCATCAAAGCCTTCAGAAGCATCCCTGGAATTACTCTGCTTAATGTCAGCAAACTGAACATTTTGAAACTTGCTCCTGGTGGGCACGTGGGCCGTTTCTGCATTTGGACTGAAAGTGCTTTCCGCACGTCAGATGATCTGTATGGCACTTGGCGTAAAGCTGCCTCCCTCAAGAGTAACTACAGCCTTCCTATGCACAAGATGCTCAATACAGACCTTAGTAGAATCTTGAAAAGCCCAGAGATCCAAAGAGCCCTCTGAGCACCACGTAAGAAGATTCATCGCAGAGTCCTGAAGAAGGATCAGCTGAAAAACCTGAGAATCATGTGGAAGCTAAACCCATATGCAAAGACCATGCGCCGGAACACGATTCTTCGCCAGGCCAAGGA